AAACATACATACATTCATACTTAATTTAAACAGACATACATACATATATACAGACATAAACATAAACATAGAGACAGACAGACAGACAGACACAGACATTTAAACAACAACATACATTCTCGTGTTTTTCGTGTGAAAGACTATTGTGCCTGAGACGAAATGAACTTGAAAACCAACAAAGTAATCATCGGACAATGAGATCATTTGTTTTAATTATATCAACTACAACAACTACTATCATTAATACTTGTACTAACGTGCAACTACCACTTCTACTTTTACTAATAGGAGTATTACTATTACGACCATTGGTGCGTGCAGTCGCTATGGTTGCCACTACTAATGTTGCCGCGTCTGTAGTAGCTACAATAGCTGCTGCAAACGTTGGCGCTTATTACTACTACCTCTAAAATACAGCGGTAATACTACTAGTACTAATTTTGACACGCTAAACTACTACTTTTGCTGCTGCTAGCTTTTTTGGTGCTACCATTACTTCGGCTACAATAATAGTTGTAGTAGCAGTAGTAGTAGTAGTAGTAGTAGCAGCAGCAGCAGCAGTAGTAGTAGTAGTAGTAGTAGTAGTAGTAGTAGTAGTAGTAATAGTACAACTTCAGCAAAGACAACTACATCAACACAAACAGTCACAACATCAACATCATCAACAGCAACAACAACAACAATGTCAACAAATCAACGACGAATCAACAACATCATCTTCATAGCAGGAGACCGTCAGGCACGCTGTGTTGCCGGGCGGGCGGTTGTTTAAAAGGTTTAAAAACAACAACATCAACAATTTATAACAACAATATTATTAATTATAATTAATAATAATAATAATAATTGTGTTAAAAGTAAATCATACTCTATTATCTGACAAAAATAGATAAACAAAGAAATGATAATTGTCGCGAACAATCATTAAATACCACGTCATTAAAAACAATAACAACAACATCAACAATAACATCAGCAAAAACATCAACAACAACAACAACAAGATCAACAACAACAATATCAACAACAGCAACAGCATCTATCACAACAACAAAATAAATAACTAAAATACAAAACAACGGATAAAAAACTATAGACAAACTTCACACTCATTAATTATCACACACGCACACACACGCGCACGCACGCGCACACACACATACACACACGTACTTAAGAGACAGACATGAGAAGAATTGTTAAACAAGAACCCAAACACGAAATGATTAATTTTATACTCATCAATACAATTGATGCATACAAACATACATGCAAACATACAAACATTCAAACATACATACAATCATTCAACCATACATACAAACATACATACAAATATACATACATACATACATACATACAATCATACGTTACATACTAATGAACAAAAGGTGTCAATAGCTAAGCAGCATATTGTTTATTGCGATTTACATACATAAATATTGTTGTCGTTATAATTGTTTCAATCATTATCATTATTATATTATTATTATTATTTTTGGTTTTTTTGTTATCATTAATCCGCTAATTATTGTGTAATTAAAAATATTTGAACGTACGCTATTGTGTTGCTAAAAACATGAGATGTACGTGTTATTATGATTAATAATAATAGTAATAATAATAATAATAATAACTATAATAACAAATATAATAGAAAAACTATAATAATAATAATAACAAAAAATATATAAAGTTGCACCGGGTATAATCAATTTTCTATCACAATAATTTTTGAAATTGCTATCATTATTTTTGTTTTTGTTAATATTATTATTATTATTATTGTTTTAATTATTTATAAATTGTAGATAATACCAGAAAGAGTTAAATGTGCTTGTATTAATATCCTTAATTATAATAATTATTAATTTGGTTGTTGATGATTTAGACAAACATTGTTTAGTCATTTATTCGTTCATTCGTTCGTTCATTTATTCGTTTATCAATTCATTCGTTTGTTCATTCACTCATTCATTCATTCGTCTAACCATTCATTCGTCTAACCATTCATTCACTCACTCACTCACTCACTCACTCACTCACTCACTCACTCACTCACTCACTCACTCACTCACTCACTCACTCACTCACTCACTCACTCACTCACTCACTCACTCATTCATTCATTCATTTATATTTCATTCATTTCTATTTAATGAATATATAAAACATTTAGTATAATAATAAAACAAATAGTAGCTATAACAATAACAACAACAACATTAATAATAATAATAATAGTAATCATCAGAGGACCGATAAGGATAATTACAAAGGATGGAGTATTACTAATAACCGACGAGTTAGGCATTTAAAGCATATTCACCACAGAACCGCTTTAAAAACGTTTCTATCCGAACCGAACTGGGAGAAAATTAAATACTTCATTTACACAAACATTCAAACACACACACATATATACATACTGACATACGAAATACATATACATAAAAACATACATTACATATAAACACACGTGTATGCCAAATACATATAGACAATAGACATACATACAGAGAGACATACACATATGTGATGGTTTGAGGGTTTCTTTGGGGGTTTCAAGATGTGTTTCACAACAAAGGAATATACAACCAAATGGGTAGATTTAAAAGTTGCAATAGCCATAGGCTGTGAAATATCACCGGTGCTTTTTGTACTGGCTATGGAACTTCTGCTTGACGCAGCTGGTGGTGCAAACGTCTTACATGGAAAGGGAATTCACACTGATCTCTGGATGTGGCCCTGTTTCTCGAGAGTGTCAGGATGTTAAAGGGCCGAAACACTCGTTGACGGAAACTCTTCCCCTGAAGACTCTTGCTGAACGCCGTTATGTTCGAGTTTCTACATATGTACATACACACCCACACAAACACATACATACACACATACACAAACACACACATATATACACATACACACACATATATACACATACACACACATATATACACACACACATATATATACACATACACACACATATATACACATACACACACATATATACACATACACACACATATATACACATACACACACATATATACACATACACACACATATATACACATACACGCACATATATACACACACTTACAAACGTCTGTTAATAGCGCTTAAGTTGTTTTTTAAGCAGAATCCTGACGCATAACTAATAACTTGATACAATATTGACTAAGAAACATTGATGTTGAGATAATAGAGGGATGAATGAGTGAATGGATGAACATCTAAATGTCTAAATGAATGAATAAATGATGTATGTTTGTTTGTATGCTTGTGTGTATGTATACACGTGTGTATTTGTCTGTGTGAGCCTTTGCTAGAACACGCATTTATTGTTTTTCCTTGATTCATCAGCCGTGTGATTTGCATTTCAAAACGCGTGTAGTACGTCGAAAAAACATCGTTAACGAATAAACATATCGCAAAAAATACACACACACATACACACACACACATACACATACACACACACACACACACGTACATTCAGATACTATTATATGAACCGTTATTAATGATTGACGATAAGGTGATGGAGAGAACGAGGAGAAAATGAACAAAAGAAAATTAAGAATTGAGTTAATGATATCTTGATGGATGAATGAATGAATGAATAAATAAATAAATGAATGAATGGATGAATGAATGAATGAATGAATGAATGAATGAATGAATGAATGAACGCGTGGAAGATTTAAAAAAACAACAAAACAAAGACTGATTCTAATTTTATTTTCATTTCAAATGGTGTCAAAGACAAGACAAACACATAACTAAATATCGCAGAAAATATAATAATTACGTGATTTAAAAAAATTTTTCTTATTATATCATAAACTCTATTGTGCATTATAAGTGTCCTATTGTATAAATTATTTAATTAATTATTTCAAATCATCCTCTCTTAGTTTCATGTGCGTGCGTGTGTGCATGCGTTTATGGTGTGTGAATGTTTAAAATATTTTTATATGATGTGAGATTAACTTAAAAAACAGCAAACCTCGAAATATTGCATTAAAGTCCATCACAAACAATAAAATATTTCAAAATGTTTCATGGATAAAGAAACGAAAGAACGAACAAACGAACGAACAAACAAACAAAAAACAAACGAACAAACCAAACTAATTTAACAGTAAAACACATAAACCTCAAATAATAAAAAAAGTATATCGCCTAGCGATTATGACAAAAAGTAATTATGTTAAAAGAAACAGACAAACGATAACAAACAAACAAACAAACAATGATAAACAAACGAACGAACAAATAAATGAACAATGATAAACAAACGAACGAACAAATAAATGAACAATGATAAACGAACGAACAAATAAATGAACAATGATAAACGAACGAACAAATAAATGAACAATGATAAACAAACCTACAAAGAATGAAATGTACAAAAATCGATGCCAAACAGTTATATGTGTTGGTAGAAAAATTAAATAGTAATAGAATGCATACTTAATTATAGTAATGTGGTTGATAAGAAGTTTAAAATATTGAAAAATGACTTAATACTACAGATACATACACACACACACACAAACAAACACGCACACTTAAAGACACATACAAAATACTACTACTTCTGCAAATAAGAAATTATTTATCATTGAAATAATTAGTTATACAATTGAAACCTATACAATACACAATACTTCAAAATACAAATAAATATTATATATAGGCATACAAAACATACCTAACATTTACAATTACATACCTAATGTATAACCAACAAACAATTTTCACATTATATCTGAAAATAAGTTTATCCTATTTTGTAATACACTCTATTGAACATTTCAAAAATATGGATAGAAGATACATGCATACAAAAACACACACACACAAACACACACACACACACACATATATATATATATACACACACAACATACACATACAAAAACATACAAAATATATACGTATAGACACATGAAAATATAAGAGACGCAACAAATATCGTCTCAGATAAATTAGTGTAACCTACAAAAAGGTACCAACGGGCCACCATAATCATTCCCACCCTTCTTCTTTTTATCAACACTGCTAGCCGCTTCATTGCTGGCTTCAACAGTCCTAGACGCAATGTTGCTAGCCGCACGAGTTATATTGCCAGCAGCAACAGTGATATCGCTAGCAGCTACGGCAATGTCGCCTGCAGCAGCAACAATAGTTGTAGCAGAAGCAGCAACATCTTTAGCGGCAGCAGCAACATTGCTAACAGCAGCAGCTAGAGAAACAGCAACAGCATCACCAACAACCTCACCAACGACCTCACCAATAGCAACATCGTCATTAACAACTACATCATCAATAGCCGGTGCGTCTCCAATAACAATATTATCACCAGGAAGAATTACAACAACCTCATCGTCCACATCTCGAACGGCATCAGCAGCGACCACATCATCTTCACCAGCAACACCATATTCGTCGGTAGCTCTAGGGCGGTCGAGAAGTTCAACTTCACCTTCGTCACGAAAACTGGCGACTCCTAGGTCATCATCGCCATGCAGTGCGGCCTCATCAGCCTCAACTTCAACATCACCCCTTTCAAAAATGGCTTCACCATCATTTACACCAGCACCAGCACCATCATCGCCATGCAGTGCAACCACATCAGCCTCAACTTCAACATCACCCCTTTCAAAAATGGCTTCACCATCATTTACACCAGCATCGGCAACAAAAGCATCATCCTCGAAAACCTGATCACCAGCTGCCATCAAATCATTACCTCTACCAGCAGCAACATCATCGTCGTCGTCGTCATCATCACCGACACGCACGGCCTCAATCTCAGGCACAGCATTACGTTCGCCAAGCATGAAAAATTCATAAAAACCATCGAAATGGGCGAAGCAGAAACAATTATTCACCAAAAAATCTCTCATAAACCTATCCTGTTCAGTGAAGGTCTCCTCCTTATGAATATCGTGGTACCATGTTGTGATCGGGGGGTACAGGGGTTTGCCATTGAGTAATTTTAGTTTGGGAGTGCCCATTCTTAAAACGGTATAGAGACAGTTTGCTAATTCATGCCTAAGACTGAAAATTAAGATATCTGGATCGAGTTCTAATGCATTCCGTGCGATGGTCAGTGATTCGAGGTTTGGGGCGTCCAATGTGTTGAAGCACATGCCAACGCACTGTGTGTGTATGTGTGTATTTGTGTCTGTTTGAGTTATGTCTGTCGATTTGTTGATCGATCGATCGATTGAATTGATTGATTGATTGATTGATTGATTGATTGATTGATTGATTGATTGATTGATTGATTGATTGATTGATTCGTGATTATCTAACCGACCTTAGACACATCGAGATTAACGAGGCTAGTTGACTTGATCTCGAAAGTCCTGAATAGGCCAATGGTATCCACCGACTCCATTTCGATCGTCAGGTCTTCTACCGTTGGTATGTACCGGAAGAAACTTTCAGAAAAATAATAATAATAACAATAACAATAAAATAATCGTAACAAGAATAATAATAGATTTTCAAAAAATGCTACCTCGAGAATAGACTACGCTCAATAGATCTATGTATGTAGCAGGATCTTAGCTTCAAAATTCTCAAGCGACTGAGTTTCGAAAGCACCTACAAGTAACCAAAGAACATTAATAAAAATAAAGTGTATTTAGTATTATGATTGTTAAAAAAAAACAAAAAACAAATATGCGTAACTAAATTTTTTTCTCTTACTTTCCTTTTTCGTTCTCACTCTCTTATGTTTTTCTTTTTCTCTCTTTCCCTGTCCCCTTCCCAACGATATAGTTTTTCTTCGGTTTTTTTACTCTTTCTGTCTTTCACTCTCTCCCTCTCACACATTCTCTCTTTCGATCTCTCTCTCTCTCTCTCTCTCTCTCTCCCTCTCTCTTTCTCTCTTCTTCTTCCTCTAAATTTTTAAAATAAACATAACCTTCATAGGACGTTCACTCCATGTGAAGGGTAAAGTCAGATCCCTGACCGAGGCAATCTTCTCGCGTATCGCCTCGAACATCGTTATGAACGACAAGTTCCTTCGTCTCAGCGCATTAGCGTTCAAGTTTCTACCTGAAGCTGATAGGGTGCCGGATTGGTTTTCTCTATGCAGTGTTGTCGTCCAATCAAGATCTATCTTTACTAAGTTCTGCGTAAAAACGCCTGTTATCAGTTTGACTGTTGTATCTGCGAGGGAGAAAGAATCATCTGTAATGTTTATCCAAATTCTCAGATATCTGTGTGGACAATTTTAATTTATTAATTAACCAACCAAATCACCAATCAATCAATTATTATATAATCAATTAATCAATTAACTAATAAATGAAAACCTAATACTCGGCATGACGTCGATGATGAACAACATATATTTCTTAATCCTGTTTTTGTAACCCTTATAGCAGAGGGCATTGCAGACGTGATTCCTCTCTCTGTTAATGCAGTACGGAATTATGGAGGTGTCGACCCTCTGCCACATGGAGGGCCTCCTCATCATTGTGTACCAGCCCTTGCAGACATTCATGACCGTACGACGAGTGTTCATATCGTAGTAGGTACAAAACAACAGCCTTATGTCGTAGGGCAACGCCTCGATGTTTGAATTGTTAAACATCGAAAGATCAAATTGGGATTTTGTTAGATCGGATGGGCCACCCGGATCTCTAGTAGAGCTACACGAATACGACCTTTGACGTGTCCCAGCTTTGATGACGAGTTTCTCTTTTTTAATATTGAGGTGTTCAGCTGGGCAAGATGAAGCGCGTTCAAAATTCGGAGGAGGATAATTTTCAGGCATATTTGCTTTTGTTGTTAATTAATTGGTTGGTTCAACCCCTGTTGAGATGGTTAGTAGATGTAAGTAGATGAGTAATTTCAACTGAGTTAGCGCTGTCCTCTATCAGGCTTGCTATTTTATTTTAAGTATCATGTATCATACAGTTGAAGTATCATGTATCATGTAGTTGGAGTATCATGTATCATATAGTTAGGGTATCATACATCAAACTGGTTGTGAGAAGGTACATCTAAAAAAATATAAAACAACTATCTTAAATGTTTATCGTTTATTTATAACTATAACTACCCAAAAAATTTTATTTATTGTCTTTTTATCAATTAAAAATTAGGCAAAATTTAACTCGTTTAAGCAGTTCTATATTTGTAAGCATATTATAATATTAACATTGGATTAGACTATAGAATTAGAGAATTCTATTATACTCACATGATTACGTTAGAGTTATCTAAATTCACACATACACACATAGAAAGAAAAAACTGACAGGGCATGAACAAATAGAAAAAAATACAAATTCCTTATAAAACCTAAAAAACAAATCGCCGAAACTAGAGATTTTTATTTTTTACTAAAATATCAATCAATAAACATCCAAAGATGTAAAAAAGTTTTTACAATCTTTACATGCATATTTTACTAGTTGAATTACTCTAAGTCTACTGGGATTATTAAAAATTCACGTACACCTAAGACATACAAACTTACATAGGAATTTATAAAATTTTCAAGTTAAATTAACATAAAGAAACATACATTTTACATAAAATATCGAAATGCTAACATTTTGAAATGTCCTAATTTTTAGAATTTCCCAAATACTTTTAGAACTTAATTAATTCAGTTTAATTTAAATTTAAACGGTATAACCAGCGTGGCGGCAACCACATTTAAATATGAAACACCTGGACCATTTAGACACCTGGATTATTCCTTTTAAAAAGTTATGCGCTATACAAACATAATTTCTGTAGAGAGTCGCAGTCATACGTTTGATAGTTCTTATAGTCAGAAATGCTACTACATCCATTTATTTCGTAATTTTGATTTGAGTTCTTCATAGAATATCAGATTTTAAAGTAATTCAGCAAAATTTTGAGCTTGTTTTTGTCTTATATTTTTAAAAGTTTTATTAATTGAATTTATTATTTATTAATTGAAGCTTTATTATTTGTTCAAATAATTCGTTTTACCAAAAGATTTTTAAACTACAAGCTGTATTCCTCGCTTTTGTGATGCCATTCTACCATGTTTAACTGTTACTTTCCTTATTTTTACATTGCAATTCTTTCAAATACGAAATTTAGGTATGCCTCTAATTTACACCCATTGAATAAGGCTCTTAATTTCGATGGTTTCCCGGTAGTTTCTGAGTTGAGTTATGGTTTGATTTCAATTCAATTTCAATTTAATCCGCTTTTGATAACGAGAAATTTACATATAAATTTTAACTCTAAAAAAACTCATAAAATTTAACTCTAAATTAAATTGAAATAATAATTATGGTAATAAAATATAATCAAAATATTAAATAAAATTGAAATATATATTAGACAAGATGGATTCTGTTTCATCCTTCTGAGAATATAACTTTTGGCCTTTTAATCTGAAAATCAAAAATTAATTAAATTATTTAACCAACTAAATAAATTATTTAATTAATTAATTCAATCCAGTTAACGGCATTTACTTTTTTGCCTATTTTTTAGTGAATTTTTCAAATTTTCACGCGATTTCTCCATTTATTACGCGAATTTATTAATAAAAAGAGAATTAGTTGCCCGTTTTTGTAATAAATTTACTTGAATATTTCTAATTTCTACGTGAATTTATCATTATAAACTACAATTTAAACTATTTTTGTAATAAATTTACGTGAATTTATCAATAAAAAGAATTAATTTCAACTATTTTTGTAAAAAAAATTACGTGAATTTATTAATAATGAAGAGAAATTAATTTAAACTTTCTGATTTTTAGATGCAACGCTCCACTTGGATACATTCCTATAATTACTCCTTGATGTAATTTCGGGAAAAACTTTGGAAAATTTTTTGAAATTAAAAAAAAAACTAATGAATTCATATTATTAATTAAAAAAAATCTAAATAAATAAATGGCTGAATGAATGAATAAATGAATGAACGAACGAACGAACGAACGAATGAATAAACAAACAAAATCCGGATACTTTTTGAATCTCTGATGACGTAGAAGTAAATGATGCTGGAAACAACACCGGACATCATGACAACCAGGAGTATGGAAGCAAAGGCAATGGCTATGTAGTAGATCATGTCATTCACCGATGACATTGAATCACCTAATTTGATTGACAGGTTGTGTGTGTGTGTGTGTGTGTTTGTTTGTGTGTCTGTGTGTGTTTGTTTGTGTGTGTGCGTGTTTGTGTGTGTGTACGTGTGTGTGTTTGCGTGTGTATATATATATTTTATTTACGCAGGATATTAACTGAAAACATGATATGATAAATAATTTTTTACACAAATTTTACATGTACATAGGTGGACACACAAACACACACGCACATACCAACACACACACGCACATACCAACACACACACACATACCAACACACACACACATACCAACACACACACATACCAACACACACACACATATCAACACACACACACACATACCAACACACACACACATACCAACACACACACACATACCAACACACACACAAGGGCACGAAAAATTTAACTTGAATTAAAATCTTCACCAGAATTGTCGCAGTAGACATCGTCTTTAGCTGATGTTGTCGTTACATTTACCGATCGGTTCTCGAATTTCGGTATCGTTTCAGTCAAATCCAACGGGAGGCTAATATTCGTCGGTATAGTAACGGTTTTGTTAGAAAATTCCGATACATGGTCGGATGATATTTGAAACATCACTGAAATCGTTGAGTTATTCATCTAAATATACATTCTTATCGCCATTGTTAATAAAAGTATTACCATTATCATTGGTAAAATTGTTATTACTACTATTATTATTATTTTATTATATTCTTATATTATCAATTTACCATAATAACTATAATTATTTTCAAATTTGAGTTTCAATTACTATTCTCTACGCATATACATGCAGATAGCAATTTGTTTATTTATTTCGGGATTGATTATTGTTTACAAACACAAACATATCAACGTCAGTATAATATATATATATATATATATATACATTTATTTATTTATTTGCAAAAATATATATATATATATATACACACACAAACACACGTGCGTATATAAGTTTAATTGCAAATTTTGTTATCAATGTTTTTTTTATTTTTCATGTAATTTTACATATTTATTGCTTCAACAAAAATTTTCGAAAGAGAGAGAGGGAAAGAGAGAGAGGGAAAGAGAGAGAGAGAGAGATGGGGGGGGGAATAAATGAATGGATGATGATAAACTTAGGGATAACGGGATGATGACGAAAAGGTTTTTCTTGTAACGCCAGGCAACTTTCTGTTTATCAACTTTTAGGAATTTAAAAGATAAAAATAGAAAAAAGATAGAAATAGCCTCTTACATTTATATAGCGCAGTATTTCAAAGTAGAAATTAATTCAAACAAGTTAGGATATTTTTAAAAATTATTTTGAACTAACTAACCATTGATAGCACTTCAAACGATTCTAATATCACGAATAATAATAATAAAAATAATATAAAAAAATAAAAACAATAATAACAAAAACAATATATTAATAGTGGATATTTACAAGGACGTGAATAAGGCAGAAAAAGTAAATGTTTCGAAAGAAAAAAAAAAACATATCTAAGTGTGTCTGTGTGTGTGAGAGAGAGTGAGAGAGAGAAAGAGAACACGTTGGATGTGTGTGTGTGGTGTGTGTGTGAGTATGTGTGAGTTCGAATGCTATGTTAACTCATTATTTCTTGAAATGAATTTGACATAATTCATGGTCGGGCACCTAGGCAGCCACCTCACGGGCGGTGTCGTGAAGATACGATGTTGACTTTTTCGGTAGCATAATTGACAAATTTCCTATTGGGACGACTTCTGTTTGAAGAATAGATGGAAAAGAGAAATGAATAAAAAATGAACTTATAGAAAGTAAGAACGAATGAATGAATGTGTGAATGAACCAGCAGTCAAAGAAGGAAATAAAAAATGAAAAACCGAGCGAAATAACTATTCAATTATATTGAAATATCAATACCGCACATAATAATTTGTTTGTATCATCTTCCAAGACTACAAAAAATACCCAGCTAAGCTGGCTCCCCTTACGTTTTTGTTTCAGTTTGACGACGAAGACGACGATGAAGAGTAGAAGACAGAATAGAAACAATGAGATCAGAACGTTCATCCACGCGTTTCTCATCAGCCAACCTCTGTATACTTGTTTGTTTGTATGTATGTTTGTGTATGTATGTATGTATGTATGTATGTATGTATGTATGTATGTATGTATGTATGTATGTATGTATGTATGTATGTATGTATGTTTGTGTATGTATGTATGTATGTATGTATGTATGTATGTATGTATGTATGTATGTATGTATGTATGTATGTGTGTGTGTATGTATGTATGTGTGTGTGTGTGTGTGTGTGCGTGCGTCAACGCAAGAATTAAGTTTAAAGCTTACTAGCTGTGGTTGTCTCTGAAGGAAAATTGACAACAATAATATCATCAAGAACCACATTAATAATAATTATAATAATATAATTATTGGTTTTAATAATAATGATAATATTAATGATATTAATAATATTATTATTAATTGAAAATAATTTATGAAATGAAAAAAAAATCAATCCTTGCCATATGATGGGTGTTCTGGTCGAAATTAAATAGCGTTGGTATTGGTTGTAAAACACTTTAGAATCAAAATATAGCAGTAGTAAAAGTAGCAGTAGTAGTAGTAGTAGAAGAAATTGTAGTGGTTGTAGTAGTAGCAGTAGCAACAGTAGTATTAGTAGTAGTATTAGTAGTAGTAGTAGTAGTAGTAGTGGTAATAGTAGTAGTAGTATTTATTTTAAAAATTTAAACCAAACATTACTTAGTTCGAATATTTAAGAAGAAAGTTTCTAACCAGATGTCATCATTGATGAGATAATTAATTAATTAGGGAATCAATTAATTAATTATGAAATTAATTAATCAATCAAGGAACTGTGGTTTTTTTCTAAAATATACTTCTTGGTAACTTAATTAGCGTAAGATCAGTTTTTAGAATTTTTTGATTACATTTAGTTTATTATTTTCAATTTATTTTCACATATCTGCCCGGTTGTCTATCTATTAAATATTGGTTTATATTATATTATCACATATTCCTATCCATTTGTACGTATATTTATTTATTATTATTTTATTATTATTTTTTTTATTCATTTAATGTGTGTGTGTTTGTGTTTTCATTTCAACAAGTAAACATCAACAATAAATGCATCGTGGTGAGTAAAAGGAAATAATAATAATAATAATAGTAACAATAATATTAACAATAATAATAATAATAATTTGCAACCTCAGAAGAGATAATGAGAATTACAATAGAATTGAGAGAATAAATTGAGAGTTCTCAATTTATAAGCCTTTCGTTATTCATACACATCACCGCTTAACCTGCCAGTTGATCGCGGCCAGCCATTTGGATGGGTGACCGTAAAATTTTACAATATCGCTCGTTCTACAGAGGGCCATAGAAATGAATAATTGACTTGAATTTTAAAGAATTTGCAGATGAAATTTTGGCTTGGCTTGACTTTAAGGCCAAAGCGAACCATCACCAATTTGAATGTTGGACTCTTCAAAGTGTACCTCACACACACACGCACGCACGCACACACACACGCACATTCACAAACATACGCACTGTCATACAAATCATTTATATTCTTCTTGTCTTTGCCAGGTTTCTCTCAGCAAACAGGCAAAAAACAGCTTTGGACTTGAATTGATCTACGAACTCCGAGCGGTCTCAAACATGTATTGCACATACAGAAGCTGTTAATGGCATTTATTATTATCGTAAACCTTATTCTTATTTATAATTATTATTATTGTAATTCAAATTGATATTCTCATTTATTATTATTATTATTATTATTATTATTATTATTATTATTGCTGTTGTTGTTGTTGTAGTTATTGTTGTTATTATTATTATTCCTTTAATATAGCATACCATTCCCGTCAAAATGATGGATTTATGATTTATTCCCGCTACTCCAACATACTGACGTATAAACATATACACACATGCACACAACACCCACACACACAAACCAACATTCACATACACATACACAAAAATCCTCATACACGTACAAACATTAACACAAAAGGTGTGACATAATATAAACATATACGCTCATACATACATACATACATACATACATACATTCATACATACATACATACATACATACATACATACATACATACATACATACATACATACATACATACGAACTGAGAGAATGAGAGAGAGGAGAGAGAGAGGAGAAAAAGAGAGAGTGAATAAGTCGGAGAAAAAGGATGAAAAAAAGAGGAAAAGAACAAAAGAGAAAGAATGAGAGAGAGAGAGAAAAAGAGATGGCTGTTATTTACGAGTAGTTATCTGCATACATTATCAATAATGTTGGTATCTCATCACATCTACATTACTCACATGTAACAATGAATGAAGAAATTAATGTTGAATCAAGCTTTCGTACATACAAGTGCAAACATGCATGTGTACAAGTGCAAACATGCATGTGTACAAGTGCAAACATGCATGTGTATTTACAATAAAATACAATACACATACATACGTACACACATTCAAACAACAGGTTACTAGTTAATGCATCAGAGCGTTAATGCCATAAAGAATACACACACGCATACATGCACATACAAACTAATTCACTCATTAGTACACACACATACATAAAAAGAAACACACAAACAAACAGACACACACACATACACAATCATTAATGCACAAGCAAGCACACACATGTACGCCGACACTTAGCAATTATCTTGCTTCACCCCCATAAACACACACACATGTTTTATACATTGTATATGTATGTATGTGTGTGTGTGTGTGTGTGTGTGTGCGTGTGTGTACAGTGCAGTATACATATCTTCTGATATTGGTTTGTTTAACGTTCGTTTAATGTTTGTTTATCCTGCACTTTTATTGTATTTTATGCATGTTTGTATGTAGTTTGTATGTAGATTGTATCTATGTACGTTTGTATGTATACATTTGTATATAAACAAATGCATGTAATTTTATGTATGCTTGCATACAAACCTATCCTTATCATCTTATCTTTATCATCATGTTATTATCATCATCATCTCATCATCATCATTTTATCTCTTACTTTTTATTTGTCTCTCTTTTTTCCTTTCTCTCACTCTCTCTTTTTCTCTTTCTCTCTCTCTCTCTCCCTCTTTATCTGTCTTTCTCTGTGCAAGTAATTTATTAGGCAATAAAGAATAAGAGAATTTGATTCATTAAATAATGTGAGTGATAACAAACAACGCTGATGATGACGACGACGATGATGAAGATGGTGATGATAATGATGATGGTGGTGAAGATGGTAATGGTGACGATGATGATGAAGATGGTAATGATAATGATGGTGACGATGATGACTGGCGATACTCATTTCTAGATCATGTCAATTAAAAACAATCATGACGACGGTCTTGTTGATTATGGGGATGGTGATGGTCCAAAGTTCTAAATAAAAATAATTAAATAAAAGTGAACTTAAATGAAAATAATTAATATAATTTAAAAAATGTAATGTATATCATACCTATATACCTACATACAATAAGTTTGTATGTTATACGATACCCTATTCTTAATTGATTTTCTTTCTCCAAAAAGCACACACACACCAAACACACACACACACACACATACATACTTACATACATACATACATTCCCAAACATACATTCTTAAACATTGTGTGTTGTGATTGTTGTCACTGATGAAGGTAATGTTTTTTTTGTGTTAGTCTATGAAGGTTTGTTTTCAAACTTGTCAATGACGAAATTCTAATGTTATTATTATTACTATTATGGTTGTTGTTGTTATTATTATTGTTGTTGTTGTTGTTTCGGCTGGTATTATTATTATTTCTATCGTTTGCAGGCAGTTGGCCATCCCCTGCTTGCTTCCATTTTATTACACAAACACTGAACAAGGAAACACGGAAACACATGTGTATATATATACACATATATGTGCGTGCGTGTATGGTTTGTGTGTGTGTTGTGTGTGTATGTGTATGTATGTATGAATGCATGTATGAATGCATGTATAAATGCATGTATGTATGAATGCTTTTATGAATGCCATTATATACTTCTGTGTATAATTATATTTATAAGGTATATATAGATATGTATATATATATTATATATATGTACTTGTACATATATCATGTATGTGTGATTGTTTGTTAGTTTGAAAGATGTTGCATGTATGTGTATGTGTGCGTGTGCGTGTATGTGTGTGTATAAAATTTAATGACCATAGGCTGAATATCTCAGGGGTCCACATTGATAGAAGCAAGCTAGCAGCTCTTACTAATTACTCCAGCATATTTGAATAAAGAAAGTTAGAGCAATGTATGGACTTTTACCATACATACAAACATACATACAAACATACAATATGTTTGTATGTGTGTAAACAAACATTCATACATATATATGGATATACATACATATATACATACAAACATACATACATACATACACACATACACACACATACATGCAACATCTTTCAAACTAACAAACAATCAAACACACATACATACATACATACATACATACATACATACATACATACATACATACATACATGTGTAAATCTGCGTGCATATGTGTATTATACAAAACGTATGTGTGAAGTTTATCTCTCTCTGATACTTAAGACAAGTGTTATTATCACCATATATACATATGGACATTCATGACACATATACATATATACACATATACATATATACAAATTAACATACATGTATATGTAATGAACATAGTAATATCTATGTATACATATATACATACTTTTATACACAATATATATATATATATATATATATATATATTTATAACATCTTAATATATAAGTACATATCTTGTTTGCCTAGTACAATTTAACAGCAAGTTTATTTTTATTATTATTGATTCGTGTAATAAATTTTATCAGCTCGGGTTGATTGGATAACACAACTTTTATTGTTGTTATTATTGTTATTGTTGTTATTATTATTATTATTTAGATATATATATATGTATAAATATATATGTATTTATATATAAATAATAGTGTTTCACAAGAGTTTTTGGCATATTAATTTTTAAAACGAATATCAACCAATGTACTCTTGTTGTTATTTCTAATAAATTTCAATTCTGTAATCCTCTCAATCAGTTTCTATTTCGGAATAATAATAATAATAATAATAATAATAATAAAATAGTAATAAAATAATAATAAGAATAATAATAATATAGATAACTCTCACAAAAACAAAGAATTTAAAAAAAATACATCGACGATGACGTCACGAAAACGTCACTCTCTAATAAGGCTATTATCGTCACCGTCATCATTCATGTTGTTGTTGTTGATGTTGTTTGTCGTCAAAATTACGTCATCAACAACGTCATCATCATTTTCTCTTAACCTTGGTTAGTTTTTTTTATTTCATTGTCTATTTTTTTTTATTTTCTATGTTTTTTTTTATTTCATTGTCGTCTGCATATCGAAATCATCTAGCTTTGTTATGTTATTGCGATATATTTATATTTAAAAATGTGATAATATAATATGAGATGGGGGACAAGATGGTGAAGTCGCTTTTTGAAAAATAATTGAAAATTAATTATTAATTTAATTAATACATGTTAAGAAATGTTATTTAAAGATTGCCTTTTACTGGCCGGGCTAAAAATAGTTTCACCATAATTTACATATTAATGAGTGCCCTCATTTGCCTAATTATATAATTAGTTAACTTTACGTAAGACTATATCTTGGTAAGTAGTATTTGTAGCAGCAATTGTAGTATCACTAGTAGTGGTAGTAGTATAGTACATGTGGATGATAAAATAAATAAATTTATTTTCATGTAATCAAGCAGAAAATGAATAATTATGATTGACAATCCAGTCTTACTAATTGGTTATTGATTGACCAATTTGTTATATTCATGTATTTTATTGCTCTGTCACTGCACCAATTAACATTTTACTTTAAAAAAAACAACAATAATAATAATGATAAACCCAACAAAAACAACAACACCAACAAAAAGAACTCGTTAAAATTTAAATAGTCAGTCTATCAGCAGCCTCTTTATTTCTTAACAGCTCACTCAAACACACTCACACACTCCCACATACATACACGTACAGAGATGCACACACACAAACACACATACATAGATACACACATACAAACACGCACACATACAAACAAACAAACATTAAGTACACCTGCCTATAGTTAATTTATAACACCCTAACCTACTATCGTTAAAGCAAAGCAAATTACCCGCGTAAAATGAGAAAGAGAGAGAGAAAGAGAGAGAGAGAGAGAGAGAACGAATCGAGAGGGACAACAAAGAGATGAGAAAAATGTAAAACAATGAAATGATATTCTCCAACGGGAAGTGACATGTACAAATTGATAAATTTAACGATATAAGAGTCAAGAACAACAGGAAAATAACGACAGAATTAATCACAACAACAACAGTAACAACGACAACAACAACAGTAACAACATTAACAGTCGTAATAAAAAGCAGCAGAACAATAGCTAAATGATGGTTTGATGTTCTTCCTTGAACATTTTGTTGTGATTTTTCTAACGTATTTAAGCGTGCGGACGATAGGCGAGAACAACAACTGCTCTCAAAAAACTGATGTATTTATTACAATTATTCCTTCTTTTTGTATGTTTATGTGTTTGTGTGTGTGTGTGTGTGTGTGTGTGTGTGTGTGTGTGTGTGTGTGTGTGTGTGTGTGTAGGTATGCTTGCGATTGTATCAAACATAGATACATACACACATACATATATAAAATTGAAAATTGCTAACAATTAGCAGACTGTGTGTGTCTGTGTGTGTGTGTGTGTGTGTGTGTGTGTGTGTGTGTGTGTGTATGTATGTATGTATGTTTGTTTATACAGCAATTCTTGTTATCAAATGAGGATAAATCAAAATAAAGATAGAGTTATGGCCTATTAAATATTTTTATTTTATTTTTATTTCATATCCTCTGGTTTATTTTAGTCAAATTGAGTTTGCTCGGCAGAATAATGAAGATTTAAATAAGTAAAGTTATAAATTACTTGATTACTCATTAATGAATTAATCTATCCATTAATTCATTAATCCATTCATTCTTTCATTCATTCATCTATCCATTCATTCATCTATCCATTCATTCATCTATCCATTCATTCATCTATCCATTCATTCATCTATCCATTCATTCATCTATCCATTCATTCATCATCTATCCATTCATTCATTTATCCATTCATTCATTTATCATTCATTTATTCATTCATTCATTCATCATTCATTTATTCATTCATTCATTCATCATTCATTCATCCATCCATTCATTCACTCATTCCTCCATCCATCCAGGAAACAGAAAACTTTCCAGACGCCAACTGCCTCACGAGAGCATATACTTCGATCCGAGTCCGATTGACCAGGACGTCTTGGAGGGCCTGGAAGCCAGGCTGAGGTGCGATGTTTCCAAAAATGGGATGATTGCCTTCCACTGGCTCTTCAATGGAAAATTGGTTGGTTCGTTTGGTGAGTGAGTGAATGAATGAATGAGTGAATGGATGGATGAATGAATGAATGAATAAATGAATGAATGAATGAGTGATTAAATTAGCGAGTAAATGAATGAATGATTTAATGAATGAATGAATGAATGAATGAGAGAGTGAGTAGATAGATGGCTAACTAGCTTTGAACTAAGTTATTCTAAAATACGATTATCTTTCATCCTCGCTATTTTCCTTCGCGTTTCTCCATCGTTTCACATTCATCATCGTTTCATTTCTTCTTAATCGTCTTCTCTCTCTTTCTCTCTCTCACTTTTCACTCGCTTTTCATCGTTATCTCACTCATTACCCATTATTTATCATCATTATTCATCATTTCCATCAAAAAAGCTATTCAACCAAACGAGGAAGTACCAAGAGGCTGGCGACCTACGCATCTCGAGAGTTGACAGGTTACTAGATAAGGGCAAGTATAGATGCATAGCCACCAACATTCAGACTGGGATTGCTCTTAGAAGCACTGAGGCTACCTTAACTGTGTTGTGTTAGTTGGTTGGTTGGTTGGTAGTTGCATGGTTGATTGGTTGGATAGTTTGATTGGTTGGTTGGTTGGTTAGATGGTTCGGTTGATTGGTGGATGGTTGATTGATTGGTTTATTGATTGATTAGGAAATGAAATTGCGCTAAAAACTATTGATGCTACTCGGTGTTTTTGAGTTAGTTAGCTAGTTAAATTGATTGATTATTAAATTGATTGATTGATCGGTCAATTGGTTAATCGATTGTTTGATTGACTGGTCGGTTTGTTGGGAGGTGATTGATTGATTAATTTGTGTTATAATTAATTTAAATAAAATTATTTTGAGATCAAATTCGCATTCTCAAAACAATAGGGATTGACAAGAGAACTGAAGTTCATCTATACACTCAAGAATCAAACAACAACAACAATAATAATAACAATAATAATAAATCGATAACAAGAGGATCTATTATCGCTCAGGGAAATGAAATAGTATTGAAATGCTTGGCCAGCGCAGAGCCCGAACCGTACATAGAATGGTTTAAGAATTTCAACAAGTATGTGTGTTTGTGTGTGCGTGGGAGCGTGTTAATGCGTGTGTGTGGTGTGTATGTGACTGTGTGTGGTGTGTGTGTATAGATATAAATGTATGTGTGTATGCGTGTAGGTGTGTAATGTATGTACGTTATTATCTATTTGAATGCTTTCGAATTTTTGTTATATTTGCAAATGTCAATAACTTGTGCAAATTTCCCCAATTTTTACTGGTGGGTAAAAAGAACTAAACATGAACCAATCACAAACCAGGATTCAACCAACTGATAGATATCGACCAATGAAATTTCGTCTTAGAATCATGTCCGTCAGTTTATTGGACGAAGGGGTTTATACATGTAAGGCGCGGAACGTGGCTGGGTCTTCAGTTGATAGTGACGTTTTCGTCTTGTCTGTTGAAAGTTAGTTTGTGTGTGTGTGTGTGTATGTGTGCGTGTGTGTGTGTGCGTGTGTGTGTGTATGTCTTTTCATGTTAATTACATTTTCCGTGTTTAACTTCATTTTATATGCTTAATATTCACGTCATCATCTCACACCAAAAGATTATTAATATTTTAACATTAAACCTTTCAAAAAAAAAATATACAGCACCTAATGATATAGCGCTCAACTTAGATACATATACACCGTTTGCTGTCGCCAAGAAAGGTTCTTCAGTGGTGATGAATTGTCAGTTTGGAGATGCGTCTGATACCTTTTGGTTCTTCAACAACAAGACACTTATAAACTTTAATGATGCAAGGTAGGATTTTATTTATAAAGGTTTATTATTATATTTATTTAATTATTATTATTATTAATATCATTATTGATGCAATTTAATTTTAATCTGACTAAAACAAATTTTAATTAAATTGCGATTCCAAAAAAAGGTATGGAAAGCTAAACAGATCGAGTCTTCAAATTAATAACGTCAGTGAGATTGATGAGGGAATTTATCTGTGCTCCTCTTCATCGTCATCCTCTTTATCAACATCGTCGTCATCATATTATGCAGTGAAAGTAGCGTTGGCATGTAAGAGAATCTAAACATGCTCTTCAACTATGATATAAATTGTAGAAAAATTTCGATTTCAATTTTTTAATAGTTATTATTATAACAGTTATTGATTAATTAGTTGATTGATTGGTTGATTGATTAATTGATTGATCGATCGATCGATCGATCGATTGATTGATTGATTGATTGATTGATTGATTGATTGATTGATTGATTGATTGATTGATTGATTGATTGATTGATTGATTGACACCTATCTTATTCATCCGTAAAGACTTAGACCTCTTAACGGCGTCATCAATTGAGCCCTATAGACCAACATCGGATCATATCATACCCCAACATGGCAAGGTCGATCTGTTTTGTCGTCTGCCCCTGGCTCACCCTACTCCAAAACTAAGGTTTGTTTGTATTTGTGCGTGTGTATGTGCGTGTGAATGTACGTGTATATTTGCTTGTGTGTGTGTGTCGCATTTGAATACAAACATTCAGACTCTCATAATATTACAAGAGAAATCTGAAAACAAACAAGGTGGGAAAATCCGTACGGTACAGAAATAACTAACCAATCAGGAAGTAGGATTCGGTCCGTGGGCGGAGCCCTGTTCATACACAATGTTGATGAATCAGACGCCGGCCAATACACGTGCGTTGTTGAAAATTTGGCAAGAAGTGTTTCTTACACGGTTCAAGTCTACGTATCAGGTTCTTTGGAAGAACGATTAAAATTTCTAATATTGCAACCGTTGGTTCCAAAAATAAAATTTTTAACTATAACACGATCAGTTCCTCCAAAGATTAGCCTTCCTCCGTTAAGTTTGCGCGTGAACGAAGGCGAAGATGCCAGGTTTGAATGCAAGTACGTCGGGTCGGCCTATCCCGTTACGAGAATCACCTGGAAGAAGGATGATGTTGTGGTCAGTTGGGTGGCAAGGAAACGTTGTGTTTCATTTATTTCTGTTTTGTGTGTTTTTGTCGGTTGTTAATTTTTGCTGTTGTATTTTCATTCATTCATCCATCCATTCATTAATTAATTGATTGATTGATTCATTCATTCATTCATTGTATTTTTGCACTACCTAGCTTCATACGTGTACTACATTGTTTTGTTGTGAAAAAAACTTGTTGAAAATCTTCAGTTTTTAATGTTTTAAATCTGTGTAAATATTTAGATAAATAAAAATAATGAACAAATTTTCAAAACCAACGAATAACTTCAAACAATACAAAACAATTACCCAGATAGCAGATCCCCGCTTACTATCTTCCATCTCCCACACCTACCTCTCCATCTTGAACGTCAGTGCCGATGACGAAGGCAATTATGCTTGCGTCATCAACAGCACGGGTCACGAGGTCATTCAATCTGCTTCCGCTAGACTCTACGTTGAAAGTTTGTTTGCGTCTGTTTGAGTTCGTGTGCGGGTGTTTGTACGTGCGTGCGTCCGTGCGTGTGTGCGTGTTTGCTCAACCGCGTTTGCACATATGACGACGAAAACAACAACGCAAACAGAACACCTGAAATTCAACCCACTTCCATTGAACACGACATTGGAACTGCACTCCAAATCTCTGGTTCCATGCAGGGTGGAGGGAAAGCACCCCCTCAAGATCACCTGGTTTAAAGGTCAAAGTTCAAAAATGTTTCCAGAGCACGTGACCCAATTGCTAAACGGCTCGATGTTTTTCGATGGCGTACAGAGAGGCGATGTTGGTTTCTACACGTGCAAGGCTGCATACGTTGGAGCCACTTCTTCAGCTTCAGGCGGCGCAGGTAGTATGGATAGTATTGTCACCAGTGGTGGTAGTATTTCTGGTGCTGGTGAAGGTGCAATTGAAGCTTCTATCTACATTGATGCAGCCGGCTAGTTGCAAATTTTTCATTTTTCTAATTTCAAAATTTTCACAAACTTCAAGAACTTTAACAAATTATTATAAGAGTAGAATAACGACAACATATTAACTCAAATTTTAAAAAAATTACCACTTCAATTTTATAGTTCGGCCAAAATTCAAAGTCGTTCCACAAAACCAAACCATTCTCAAGTCCCAAGAAATAACATTCAACTGCATTGCATGGGGCGAACCGACTCCCACAATAAAATGGTTTAGGCAGGATTCCCTGATTAGTGAAGATGGCGACATGAGCGGAACTTCGGCAAGTCATAAGGTGTCTATTTTATTGTCATCATAATTGATTAATTATTTATTTGTTTATTAATATTTTCCTTCTTTCGCTTTCGTTTGTTTGTTGTTATCATCATCATCATCATTGACAGCATCAACATCGTCATCTTCATCATCTCCATAGATATTAAACAACGGAAGTTTGCATATTTCAAATCTCAATCCACCATTGGACGATAATACGATGTATTCATGTCTGGCCACTAACAAGGGGGGTAGTGAAAGGAGTATAGCCTACGTCCGGGTCATGAATGGTCAGTATAATTACTACTACTACTACTACTACTACTACTACTACTACTACTACTACTAGTACTGCTACTGCTGCTGCTGCTACTACTACTGCTGCTGCTGCTACTGCTATCTGTTAAATTCTTCTTAATTCAACAAGAGTAATACATTTTTTAGTCGCTTGTTTAGTCACTTGTTTTAATAGGGAAATTAATTGGGAATTTGAATAGTGAGTAGTAGTTCAGTATTCTGTTTTATAGTGTACACAGTAATCTATTCGCTGAGTTGTATTTATCTAGTATTGCTAATTCATTTTTACTTAGTACTGTTGCTGCTGACAATACTGTGAAAAGTAGCAATAGCAGCAGAGGTAGTAGCTGAAGCAGCAGCAATAGCAGCAAAAGTAGTAACTGTAGCAGCAGCAGTACCATTATTTTATTATAAATAATCTTTCTGAATGCCCTAACGACTTTCATATCGGTTAGATATCGACGAGTTAACCAACCACGTGAAACAACAAAGACAGCAACATCAATTTTACATCAACAACAACAAATTCAACAACAACGACGACGATGATGACAGTAGTGGTGATAACGATGATGATAATAGTAGAGATGACAACGCAACGAAAACCATCGTCATCGCCATCTTCAGCACGGCAGCCTATCTTGTTGTCATCATCATCCCAATCGTTTACTGTAGCATTAGGAAGAGACGCAGAAGAGACAGAGAAAGTGTGCAGATTTTTTTTGCTTACATTCCAGTTTACAATTCTTTACATTTTTCTTTACTTTTTTAAGTTTTTTTCAATTGTATTTTTTTTTGATAAAATGAAATGAAGTCTGTAATGAAAGTAGAAGTTGTTGTTAGATTTGTATCATCTTAGCAGGCAAAGCCAACGGTCAACCAGCTGAAGCGGTAGAACTCGTAAACGGCCGCCAGCAAAAAATCAACAACAACCACAACATCAATTACAACAACAATGGCAATAGCAACAATAATATAAACAACATCAATCATAATATCATGCTGAACACTACTGCATCTATTTCTCCGTCAAAACAACAATATCAACAACGACAACAGCAGCAGCAGCAGCAACAACAGCCTTACGCAACAATAACAAATATTGATGTTAATGTTTCAACAATCAACACAGCAACAACATCGTCATCATTATCATCATCTCCATCAACAAATGTTGTCAACAGCTCGGCAAAATTGTTACACGTCAGCTTTTTCTCTAAGAACAACTTAAATTTGATTGGTCTATTAGGTTAGAAATTTTGTATATCTATTATTACTAATACTTATTTTCGTCCCATAATTTTAAAACTTACATAATAAATTAGCTATGATGTATTAATTATTATAATGGCTGAAGGGCCTGCATCGGAAGTCTTTGGAAAAAATCATCAACGTCATCATCAACTAAATTTACGCTATTTTTAATCACCGGAAACAGGAAAAGGAAAATACGGTGACGTGTTTGTATCGAAATTAAATTTAGTCCCAACCACGACGAAAGCACCACTCTCCAATGAGATTGCAGAAAACAGCAGCGGCAGCAACAGCAGCTTCATATTTCAGGTTAAATCCTTCACGTTGAAAAACAGACCAACTTATTTCAACACGGATCTTAATACTTTTGGGAATGTTGACCACGATAATGTTGCTAGCATTTTGTTCGTCAACCAGCAAGTCGATCCAATTCTTGTCGTCTGTGAATACACTGATTGGGTGAGTACATCTTTCTCCCTCTCTCTCTCTCTCTCTTTGTGTGTGTGCTACTTAACGTTTTTGAATGACACATACATATAGCACAACAAACATTTTAACAGGGCGATTTGAAGCACTTTCTAATTTCAATGAGATCAACAACACACCACCCGCAACAACTACCAACAACAACTACACCATCCTCAACATCAATGCTCTCCGCTCAACAACATCAACAGCACATCTACAGCAACATTTCAGAAATTTTCCCATCCTCCCAGTTCAATTTCTTCCACCAGCTCTCCATAACTATGCAATGTGCATCCGGAATGGATTATTTATCGTCCCGGAATTTGGTACACGGAGATCTGGCAGCCAGGAATGTACTCATCGACTCGAAACTCCGTGTTAAAATCTCGAATTTGGGGCTCTGCCGTGAACCATACGCCCAGGAATACGATGAAATTAATGAAAATATTTTTTCTTTGAGGTCAGCTTTTAGGCGTTATTTCCTATTACTAAATAACGTACCACTTTCAAAAATGCCAATACCTAATTTACTTATACTTTTTGACAGATGGCAGGCCCCAGAACTAACCTTGAATTTGACTTCAACGATGACGTCATTCAGTGACGTGTGGTCGTTTGGAATTCTGACGTGGGAGATATATTCGATGGGGTCCCTGCCATTTGCCGACCTCACTGACGTACAACTAATCAGGTTGATGGAAGGAAATGACTCGTATGCCATTCGCCATGGTAGGTTGCGTCAATTTGTGGTGGATTGATTAAATGAATGGTTGATTGATTGATTGATTGACTAGTTGATAGATAGATTGATAGATTAATTAATTATCAAATTCTTTACATTAAAACAATATTCATCTAATAAAAACATTCGCAGCCACTAAAAAATATAAATCAAAAAGTTGCAAACTTGATAATCATAAACAAAAAACCTTAATAAATGATAATTATAACAATCATTTGATTGACAGCCTTGACTCCGCCAATTAACTGTCCAATCCACATCTGGAATGTTATAGAGAAATGCCTGCGTTCGAACCCAGTAGAAAGGATACACTTCTCTGACGTCATTCACCATTTGACGGCCAACAGCGTTGTTTGAGTGACGTAATTGGACGATTGAATGAATGAGTGAGCAAACGAATTGGATTAATGAATGAATAGGATGGATTGAATAAAGAGTGAACGAGCGAATGAATAAATGAGTTGGGATAAGTTGACAGGCATTTTAGGAGTAACGACAAATGAATGATGAAGTGAATGAATGAATTGATGAATGAATAAATGAATTGATGAATGAACAGATGAATGAATGGATGAATGAGTTTTACAAATGAATGAATGTTCGGCGTCCAGAAGATGAAAAACCGGACGAAATCACCAACGAACACGTATCCAAGTTTTAAAATGTCGTTGTCAATGTACTTTTTGTTAGTTTTGTGCCACTAAATATATCTTACCATTGTGAATTTTCATCATTTATGTTAATTTAGTAGAACTATCTCTTCATTTAGATGTTATTTTTAGTTTTATTTGTAGTGTTTTAGCCGCGGGTAAAAGAGCCAAAATGGGTGTAAATCTAAAAAAAAATTTACACCTTAATCCGCAGTCACGCACACACCCACAGTCACACACACACACACAGTCACGCACACACAGTCACGCACACACCTTAAAATTATCAACAGTATACACCTAAATTTAACCATGTTAAGCCTGGGTAAATTTTACGAAGAATTTTTTTATTTTATTTGTCAATGTCTAAAGAATGTTTTTCCGTTGTTAATTTCAATAAATTTTAATTAATCACTTTATAATTAATCACCTAATTTATTTTATTTCATTTTTTAATTAGTTTATTTTAAACAACTCATGTGTATTTGTACGTTTTTTTTATCAAGGCATGTTATTATTAAGTGTTTAACTTTGCTTAATGTTTTTTATAAAATGGTGCTACTATAATCGTTCATATTATACATATATATATATAATATGTATAATATATATATATATATATATATATATATATATATATAAATAAATATTATGAAATTATTATTGCTAAAATGTAATGGTAGATCCTTGTTCCCAATCTTCATCAATTTCATTGAGTAACAGCATTGCAGCACATGTCAACTGTTTTGCATGACAGACATCTATAAATCCATAAAAACATTAAATGCCAACAGTAAGTATATCCCACATGTTAACGCATTGTAATGTATTTACACTTTGTTTTGTATAAGCACTTTGTTTTGTATTAGCACTTTGTTTTGTATTAGCACTTTGTTTTGTATTAACACTCTATTTTGTATTAACACTCTGTTATGTGTGAACCATATATTAATCTTAATTATCATAATTTATTAATTTATTACAAGTAAGAGATCTGTATTCTTACATAACAATGAATAGGCCTCACACCAGGAAATGAATGTACTAGGTGCATGAGAATCCACCGGCATTCGCGAACTGTTGGGAAAAATAAAAGACGTTCAATAACCTTTTCTTAACATGAATTAGTCACTATAATTGTTACAAATATATCTAGTCTGTAAATATATCAAAATATATATATATATACACTATTTGTTACTTATAGTTCAAAGCTGTAGTTAGTTTTCAATACATACAAATACATTGAAAAGCATATTTTTACTACAAGTTAGTAGATAATTTATGGTTATTTAACCACAAATTATAAAAAATTAATGAAATATGCAAAGTTTAACAAGAGAATGTGTTTGGTGTAGCTACACTTATATATGATGGAACATCAGATTAGAGAAAAATTCAGACCTTCTGACGAATGTTGTCGGCCAGTGTCTTGAGGCAGCTAGCTTCCTCCTCCAGTTCTTTGATCTTGCACTTGAGGCACTTGTTCTCGCATCTCAACTCCTCAAACTCCTGGTTCAGCATGTCATTGTCTTTGCAAGTGTCACAGGCTTTGTTTTTTATTTGATCTCTCAGATTTTGAAGTTGCTGTTGGAGAATTTTTGGTTTTTGGAAAATTTCTTTCAGATGTAAACGAAATGCTACTTTGCAGTAAATTTTAGAAATTCATTAACAATTAGCTGTCTAAAATTATTATTTTCAAGGCAATTCAACGGAAAAGTTGGCAACACAACCTGAATTTTTTCGCAAAGACACTTTCGTTTGTCTCTGAGACAGTTAATTTCCTGAAATGAAAAACATTTGGATAACAATATAAATTCTCATTTAATCGATAATTTTAAAGGAAAATTAGGTAGGACGTTTAGTTACTTCCATGTAAGCGTTAACCAGGCCAACGCAACTGAACGAATTCGCGGAACAAAAGTTGTTAATGGGAATTGGAATGTGAGTGTTACTCATGCAAAATGAGGTATTATTTGCATAATCAAAGTTCATTTCCGCGTGTCAAATTATCGATTTTCTATATAAAAAAAATTAAAGAATCCTCAAAAAATTAGCCATTTTTAAAAAAATCTGGTGTTTCAAGCTAAACGCTCAGGAGATTTAAATTTATTTAAAAGTGGTCGAGTATAATAAAAATGTATATATAATTTTGTAACGTACATTTTTCAGGCACTCGATCTCTTTTTGGCGTGATCCAGACATTTGCGTGATCCTCTGGTGTTAGCGAGTTACTCAAATTAAGTTATGTTTTATGATTTATTTAGTTTTTTTTATTAAACTTGGTTTATTTAACCTTGTTGAATTGATTTCAATTTGTTGACTTGATGTTAGGTGACGTAATTAGCATGTGACGTAGTAAGTTTACATCACATCGCATAGGAAGATTAATGGACGCCGCACGCAATTTTATTCATTTCATCTATTTCATTTCACTTTTCACTGCACCAAATACAAATTTTAGCTCATAAAAGTCTTTAGAATGTTTATTTGAGAACATTTATCATTAACATTAACGAATATCTCGACTAGTTTTAATTTCAAAGCTAAATTTTCCATTCCAAATAACTTTATTAGACCAAAAACCACAATACAATCAGTTAAATAGAAGTTTGATAAATTTATCAGAACAGATCAATCAATCAATCAGCTAACCAACCAACGAGTCAATTACAACTAATTTTCTATATATAAACAAAAAAATCTATTTTTAACAATAATCCTAATAAATGAAACAGTAAGAATACAATAAGAAAAGTCAAAATAGTAATTCAAGATGATTTCGTTAGCTATATAATCTGATAGTGTGGTCGGCCCCAGCCGAAAACAGCCAGGGTTCCGTGGGGTGAAAGGTGCAATCCAGGACCCCCAAGTTCCTTGTCATCACGTGACCTCTCAGGATTTTGACGGGAACGATCAAAGGATTGATTGTGAAGTCGCTGAAAAAATGAAAGATTACGATTAAGATTTTTTTCGTTAACTCAGCAACAATGAATAAATAATCCACTACTTAAAATAATTTCAATAATCAATCTCTTTCATCAAATTATCTATCTCTAATCAATAAATCAGTCAATCAGCACCAACCAATCAATCAACCAGCCAACCAACCAATCATTAATCAGTCTACCAATTAATCAATAAATACTAACTTAAAAACCCTGCCATGACAAACGATAGTTGAGCCATCATCGGAGCAAGACGCAAATAGTGGCAGAGATTTATGGTAAGTAACTTGCCTAATGGCACTCTTGTGATGTCTGGAATTGAAAAAATCAGTGAAGATAATGAATAAATTATGTTATTATGAACAAATTATGTTAACGACAGCGCAAAAAACTTGAAAGAAAAAACAAAATGAACTGACATCATTCAAAGTTTAAAAATTCAACCCTACATAACCAAAGATTAAATAATTTAAAAACAGAAAAGTTATAAACAGAAATGACAGTTTCAAACTTACTTAAGCGTTTGGTACGGTTTCTCGGAGAGCTCCATATCAAACCAGGCCAACCTTGAATCATAGCTACCAACAATCATGTTATCACCTACATCAAAATTACAACAATATCAATAATAATAACCTCATCGTCATCATCATCATCATTATTATTATCATCATTATCATCACCATAACCGTTAAATCAACGGCATCACAGTGTAAAGTTAGAAGCCAAAGTAAAGTCAAGAAACAACATAAATGACAAACAACATAACTATAATAATAATAATAAAAACAACTATAATAATAACTATAATAATAATAATAATAATAATAATAATAAAAATAATAATAATAATCACTGACCCCAAGGGTGAATAGCCATACTGGATATCCACTTACAATTGGACATGAGTTTCTTGGTAAGCATTTGCTTAACTAGATCATAAACTCTTATGAACTGCTGGGTCTAGGGATAACAACAACAACAACAATAAATAATAGCAATAATAATAACAAAAAGCTCTGACTAACGGCCACAAAGAGCATAGGCTTGGTAGGGTGGAATGAAACGCACTGAACTAAACCCTTAGGCTTACTGAATGGATTCTAGAATGAAAAATATAAATGATAATAATAATAATTATAATAATAAATGTAAAAACTTACCATAGTAACTTTAGTTGAGAGCCTGTGTAACAGTACGGACATTGACTGTCCTTCCTTGAGGACAACGGCAAAATAATCACCCTTTGATTGCCAGCTTATTTGATTGACAGTCTGAGTTGATTTGATTGGTCAATTAATTTTTAATTAATTCATTCATTCATGCATTCACTGATTTATTCGTTAACAAACCAAATCAAACACACACACACACACACACACTCATACATAAAGCTACTGACATTAGGATGGTTGATGCAGAGTCTAATAGAGCAACTATTGCCATTATTGTTAATGTCACGGCTGATGTTGTTGTCACTGATGTCAGTACTGTTATTGCTCATTTCGTTCCATGTTACAAGAATTTTGCTGGGTTTGTCATCTGTTTTTGAAGATAGTTTGATAAGTTAGATGTTGATAAATAGATAGATGGATAGATAGACAGACAGAAAGATAGATAGATAGAAAGATAGATAGATAGATAGACAGATAGATAGAATAAATGACTGAATGACCAAACAAATGAAAGATTGACAGTTCAACATCATCATTATCACTACCTGAATCTTCAGTGACACTGCTGCCAGGGTCAACAGTTTTCTCTGCCTGGTACGATCTCAAATAAGAATCTGTACTTTGTACTTGTGAACCGAGCATGGTATTTATAATGTACACCTTGGTATTTCTGCATATGTGTGTTTGTATGTGTGTGTGTGTATGTATACGTGTGTGTATATATCTATGTGTGTGTGTGTGTGTGTGTAGGTGTGTGTGTATATGTGTATGTACGTGTGTATATTTATGTATGTACGTACATACACGTGTGTATTGTATGTATCTTGATGGATCTTGTGTACGTATAGTAACTAACACAGAAACGGCAACAATAGACAGACTGCTCCTAGGATTCCAAGCAACGTGGCCAACCTTGCTTTCGAACCTGACCTCTTTAACACAACGACCCGTCGAGATCTCCCAGATTTTGAGTGTGCAGTCTTCAGAACCTTCATGTATATGCATGTGTGTATGTGCATATATGTGTGCGCGTGTGTATGTGCATGTACGTATGTATGTGTATGTGTGTGTGTTATGCGTGGTACATTGCATGTAAGAAGTTATTGATCATCGAATATTATCACCATTGTTATAACCGACTTCACCATCTGCATCTTTTCGTCGTCGTCATCATCACACTTATATCATAATTATATCTTCACCATCACAATCATCGTCGTCATCATCACAACCATCTTCATCATCGTCGTCATCATAAAAGCTAACCAGACGCCAGCCATAGGCCAGTTGGATCTGTACTAATACTTCTGACTGCATCTGTGTGCCCTTTATATATCTGACGACGATCGATCGATCAATCAATCAATCAATCAACCAATCAATCAATCAGTTTGTTAGTAAAAAATCAATCAATCAATCAATCTTCGTTTTGCGTCCAGAGACCCGGTTTCCCGAGGTAGGACGTAGTTAGTTAGTTAGTAAGTAAATGTGCAATGAAATATTTTATTGGCTTATTCATGAGCCTGTATATAAAAGCTGACCAATGATTGGATGGTCGGGAAAGGTTGAAGATCGCGTGGACTGGGCAGTTTCGGTAGGAGGTCTTCTGCTTTTACCTTGGCCTTCACGTTTAAGTGGGAGAAGTTAAGAATAAATTAACATTATTAATGAATGACTGAAAAACTTATAACAAATGAAAGAATGAAATACAAATACAACTGTGTAGCTGAATTAAAGATTCAAATATTAAAACATAATTCAACCAGTTACTTTTCTAACAATTCAATCCATCTGCCGATCAACCAACCAATCCATCAACCAACCAATCCATCAACCAACCAACCAATCACCAACCTTCATCTTAATCTGCCTGGGGCACAGATAGAGATCCAGGCACCTCTCAAACCTCTCATTAACAAATCTGGCATAACCTAAAAAATCAAATCAAATCAATGTTTAAATAAAAATCAAAGAGTAACATGAAATTATGCAAGATTAAAAAGTTAATCAAGCTGCTAACCAGTAACTTCACGTAGGCTTCTGAACTTTCTAGGAATGAAGTTGATTCTCCTCTCACTCTCTTCACTCTCTCTCCACTTTTTCTCCTTCAATCGATTAATCAATCGATCAATCAACCAATCAACCAACCGATCAGCCAATCATCGAATACGTACAAAGCACGTAAACTACAACAGCCAATCAACGACGACAACACACATCTACCAGTCAACCAATCAGAACGAACTTCCTCAGGGGTGAACAAATATTCAGGTGGGGGGTTGTAAGACTCTGCATGACCCGGAAGTGGCATCTTTGGGGCTGGGACATACTGGCGAATTTTGTTCTTCTTCTCAGACTACGATAAACAACAAATTAAATAACATAAATTGAGTTACTAATTCATGTTGATGATTTAAATTAAATGAATGCTTAATTCATTAGCTAATTAACCAACACATATATACATACATAGATACATACATACATACAAATACACACACACCACATACACACATATACATACACACACATACATACATTCAAATACATACCTCAGGATTTGGAGTCCACAATTCATAAAATTTAGGCTCTTTCTCTTTCTCCTTCTCTTCTTCAGTCTTTTCAGTCTGCTCAGCCTGTTTTTGTATGTATGTATATATGTATGTATGTATGTATGTATGCATGTATTTATGTGTGTGCGCGTATGTATGTATGTATGTATGTATGTATATACGTATGTGTGAGTGTAATTGTGTGTGTGCGCGCGCGTATGCCTAACCTCTGATATCTTTAACCATCCCATTTTGATTGAATGAACCAACTGTCCAACCTATCCAAAGAGTAGAAAGAGGATAAAATAAATATACTATAATCAACACCATCTTAACAATCACAACCATCATCACAACCATCATCACAACTATTACCACCACCGGCACAATTATCATCATCATCGTCGTCATAACCCGCGCAATTATCATTACCATCATCGTCACTATCATGATCTGACCTTTAACCTTTCCCATCTGGAAGGCTCAAATGACCTCTTCTCGTCAATGTGATTGGTCACTGGATGTATCATGGTTTCTCGGACGAATGGCTCGTCAAAGGCCTTGTAAGAAATTTATTTTATTCAATAAATTATTCAAAAAATTAAAAATTAAATTTATTCAAAGAGCAAATAATGATTAATTAAATCAAATCAATTTATTCATTAAATCACATCAATAAGTTAAATAACCAGCCAGCCAGCCAATCAGCTAACCAGATCTGTGACTACTTTCATTCAACCAACCAACCAAATCCATTAATAAACCAACCAACCAATCAATCAACTTACCAACCAACCAATCAACTTACCAACAAATCAATCAATCAACTAACAGGATAGGGGTCAGTTTCTTTGGAAGCATACTTTCCTCGAAGAAACTTCCGGATAAGTCGGACATCATCATCACTCAGGACCACCTTCTTACCAGTGCTCTTGTCTCGAACTGTTCTCCTGATTGGTTGGTTTGTTGGTTGAATTTTTTATTGGTTGGTCGGTTGATTGATTGACTGAACTTTTTGATGGATTGGTTGACTTATTTTAGTATCTAATTATAATTAATCGTTTATAGTTGAATGATAGAATGATTGTTTATGGCTGATTGAATGGTTGAAGTTTTTAAATAGATTTAACTAGATTTGTTAATAGAAAGACTGATTGAATTTTGTAATTGATTGATTGATAGACGGATGGATGGAATGTATGTTGATAGTTTAGTGATTGATTGTAGTTTAGCAAATTAAATAAATTAAAATCAAATAAATTTATAAGCAAATCAAATAAATTAATTAGCCAATCAAATTAACCAACCAATAATCGACATTATCCATCTTTTGTATAAAATCATCCAGCTCATCGCCAGCAGCGTCGACATCTTTTGTGATCTTCTTCCCGTCGAGGTCGTAGCCGCAATGGTCGTACTCGTTGTACCACTCTATTGGCACATCTCCAATTGTGTTGCGCACATCCTGCGATGTTTGTGTGTGTGTAACGTGATTGCTATGATGTCTATGTTGTTGTTGTAGTGGTAACATTTACGTTGTTGTTGTTGTTGTGACATTTGTGTTGCTGCTATGATGTTTGTGTTGTTGTTGTTGTGGTAATATTTATGTTGTTGCTATGACATTAGTGTTGTTGGTATGATGTTTGTATAATGTTGTTACTATGATATATGTTATCATCATCATCATCATCACTAAATCAATATCGCCACCAGCAGCACTATCATCATTCATCTTTTAGGTCATCGCCACAATTCACTCACCTCTTCATCTGATGAGTCATTATCATATTCATCAGGACCCCCTTCCTTGCCATCATCATCATAATTATCACTCTTTTTTTTATTGTTATCATCTTTCTTCTTGTAATTATCATTAACATTCCCATAACTCCTTCCACCATCTTCATCTTCGTCATCATCATTACTATTACCACAGTCGTCATCATCATCTTCATCATCATCTTCATCACTGCTGTCTTCTTCTTCTTCACCATCATCATCATTATCGTTGCTATCATCATCATCATCACTGATATCATCATCCTCGTCGCTGTCAATTTCTTCATCAGTAACATCCTCACCATCATCAACTTTGTTGTCCTTGACACTTATCAAATCCTATTTAATAATAAACAAATAGAGAATTTATTTTTTACGATATTGCAAAATGAAAATAAAATAAATTTGAGAAAGTTACAATTAACTAAAATCAGTGATCGCCGATTTTCGGGATTTCGTTAAATTTTTTCTCTAACTTAAAAATTAAGACACAGAATAAAACTCTAAAAATTTAAGCGACTGGCCTCTTTTTCCATAATTTTTGAGTGAAAAATTCCAGAATTCAACGAAGGAGAGGGACGAATCAGTAACTTTAGTAAATCAGCAGGCACGTGTTTTTTTACTTTCAAACTTTAACATCGTTTGAAGCCTGCAACCAACCAAAAACAAAAGTCTGGACAGCCAAAACTATCTTGAAAGCAAATAAATCGGAGCCACCTGTCGAAAGATTTTATGTGCTAGACCATCAGCCATTAAAAAATTTACTGATAAAAATATTTTTTGAGGAGGTCAAAGAGTCTCAATGACCTTTTTTGTTAGGACAAAGAATGTTTGTTTTTTTGAAAATATAATCCTTACAGCTTCCAGCTTTTTTCATTATGATAGTTTGCTAATCTTAAACTTATTGAAGTTCTCTGACTTAAGGTTTCAATAATGAAGATTAATAATTCATCTGATATTATGTACAAGTATTCTACTACTACCTAAATATGCGCAGTATCAACAACAAAATAACAATAATAATAAAGTATAAATGGGAGCATGTAAAAATCATTAAAAAACATTTACTGCTGGTTAGCTCCATGTCTCCACAAGCGTTGTTCAGTTTAATGTGATTCATTATTCGTTAAAATGTTCTTTTTTTATTTATTTCATGTTTTCCCTTCGTTTATTTTTTTCGTTTTTTTTTCTCATCGAGCTATAGCATTGAAAAATTATTTTAAAAAATTACAAACCTTTGCCGTGACGGTTGCAGTAATGAAAAAAAATAAAGCAAAAGACGTCACAAATTTTTAGAATACAAAAATTAAATCGCTCAATATTTAGTATAAAATTATTGTTTATCGATTGCATAAAAAGTCTTTTATTAAAGAATCCTCCAATTAACATCTGATAAGTTTGTCCATTCAAAACTTATTTTTCTTCATTCTGTTCGCTACTGGTTCTCTCGATAAAATGAGCCAACGAGCTAAGGAAATCGAGTGTTTGAAGCAGGTGGGCAGATGTGTGATTATTAATGAATTGATTGATCGATTGAATGGTTAATTAATTAACTAATTAATTAGTAGTTAATGATTATTTTAATTCAAAATTTATCAGGAGGTAGCTTGCCTGAAGGATAAAAGAAAATGTTTATGTGATAAGATACAGGTAGTACAATTATTTGTAATAGGGAAGGACACAATTTTCATTAGCATTCAATAACATTTTTTATTGAACTTCTGAAAAAAATAAAATAAAACCATTGCAATAATCAAAATTTAAATACATACTCAGTTGAATAAGAAATAAAACATTCTCTCCAAAAACAGCAATTGCAAAACCTTCGAGATCAGTTGAAAGCAAAAGCCTGCGACGTTTGCAAGGACAACGACGCTCTGAACCAGGAATTTGAGGAGTTGAGATGCGAGAACAAGTGCCTCAAGTGCAAGATCAAGGAGCTGGAGGAGGAAGCTAGCTGCCTCAAGACACTGGCCGACAACATTCGTCAGAAGGTTGGTCACTGAGTCATTGTTGTATATATATATATATATATATATATATATATATATATATATATATATATATATATACAACAATATGGTCTGGTCACAATTAAATAACTAACCACTCAACTATATTTTAATTTCATAAATTCTCCACAGTTATCTTGCATCTGACGAAGAAGGCAGATATGTTGATTAAAGAATGCTTGATAATTTTTATTTGGAATAAAATATACTGATAGATGAATGAACGAATGAGTGAAGGAGTGAGCGAATTAACAAATGAACGAACAAATGAACGAACTAAGGAATGAATAAATGAATGAATTAATGGATGAATGATTGAATGAACGAACGAACAAATGAATAAATAAATGAATAAATAATAGAACGAATGAAAGGTTAAATTTTACATTACAATGCAGTTTCACCTTGATGTTAATCTGTTACACGATCCATGCACTAGTATGGTGACAGTTTACGTGTCTAGTGTCTGAAAATATCAAATGATAAAAAGAGATTTTATTTTATTTGACCACAAAAATCAAAATAAATTAACATAAAAAATTAAAAGTAACACAATTAAAAATAACAAGCTCTCTCGTTTACCTATAACTTAGGCATTGATTTAGAACCTCATCTCAGTTGAATTTGATCTGTTATAAAACACTTTTAATTCCGAAACAAATGTATTTAGTAGAATTTATTTTATTCTGTTAATAATAATACCAAGTTTGTGTGCGTGCGTGTGCGTGTGTGTTTGTGCGTGTGTGAATTTCGTACGACAAATATGTTTAAAATATATATGGAATGAATTTTATAAACTGTATTGATAAGGTTATCAGATCATACTGCCATTATATTGTTTCTTAATTAAGATTCGAATAACTCGATTCAACCGGTTTTCGTTCGAATATTATTTGCTAAAAATTCATTCAATAATGAACTATTTAGCATAAATATCCTTAAAAACTTGTAAATATAGTGCGTAAAGAGGTCTAATATAAATAAATTTAATACAAATTAATTAGGATTAAATTATAAACACGTATATAGAATGCATCTCGATAAATATAAAATCATTAAGAAAATCAGTACAGTTTACACATTGTTGTATTGTACTGTCCTATGCCAAGAAGGTTAGTTTAATTTTGTTTATTTGGCAGATGGTATTATTAATAATAATTAATGTTGAATGGTAGGTATGTATCAAAAGTATATCTCAAAATGTCAGAAGTGTATCTAAGGATACTAAAAACCAACACATGAATGTATAGAAATAAACTTAATTCAACGATATTGAATTATGCATACAAAGATTGTTGTTTCTGTATACGCAATGATATACAATGAATATGCACTCACCATCCACCCACACACACATACACACACACACACACACACACACACAATGCACACACACGCACTCACACAGGTATAAATGTGCGTGAAGGGATTAATGTATGGACGGACTTAATGATGGGACTTGCGATAAGTTTCTTCATCCTCTCCTTCGTTGTGATTACCGTCAACTGCATCAACAGATGGTACAAAAAAAGCCTTGAAAATAAACAATAATAACAAAATTTAATAACTATTTGAAATGTTTGAATAATTAAAATAATGATGAAATATTTTTGTCGAATTTACTGTATTATATTTTTGATAAAACCTAGGTTTAATTGACTATTTCACTAATATAAATATTTTCGATATATTTTTAATCTGTTCCATGAATATACATAATTCATGATTTGTCATTATATTTATTTATTTATTCAAAAAAAGCATTCGTTAACAAATTTTTCATTAATACAAAAAATCAAATTAAATCACTAAACTATGATGAATGCAAATGGACTGCACCGTCAGTACGACGGATTGCGTCATCGGTGAGTCTTCACGCGAGCAGAGTCCAATTCTTGACAGGCATCCCCGTGAACAAAACTGGCAGGCCCACGCTTCCAGGCCACTGCTGCTCTGACGTCGCGTTTACGACGTTCTCTTTTATTATCAAGTACAGTGATTCGAGTTCTTTCAAATCCATCGACCGCGGACTTGCATTTCCTTCTCCACTCCGAAGAGCATCATGACCAAAAAAGCCTGGGTTGAGTTCACATTTCTTCAGGTTGTCTTTCAGGTTATCGCCGCCCTGGGCCACTTGCCAGACGACTTCCAATGGTCAGTTATCCAAAACACACTTGTTTGGGTATTCTTGAGTCCGGCATGCGAACGACGTATGACCAGTCCAACGAAACTTGGCCCTGAGTATAAAGGCTTCAATGCCTAAAACACCACATATTCTTAGAACCTCTGTGTTGGGCACCTTGTCCTCCCATCTGATGTGTGCAATAAAGCCTACGTATGTGGTGGCCTATGTGGTATAAGCGGCGATATGATGAATGCATATATACATACAAAACACCATATAATTAGAATAAATATAACGGCCTTCGCTCATTTTTGACGGTCGAACAAGGAGCTTACTTCCGGAGGGGAATTGGAGGGTGATTTTTTATTGTCCAAGTCTAAAATTACGATCGTTTATTTACTAATTTCGGAATATTGCTTTTATTTAAAATGTTTTGAAAGGTGATAGTAGATGCTGTTTTAGGATAGATATTGCTGTATGACGGTTTTTGCATTTTAAATTAAAAAAATTTTTTGTGAACCAATCTTCTAACACTTGACTCGTTAACGATTAACTGTAACCGGTAAGGGTAACGTAACAACATTAACGACGACTAATTAGTAATTAAATTACTAAACTCTAATAATTAAGCTAAAACTAAACTACTAATTCTAATTACTAATTAAAATAAATAACAGATAACACTAACGAACATTAACAGATTAGACTACTAGAGACTACCAACCGCTACACTACTACAACTACTACAATAACAGCACTTGTTCCTAAAATCCTAAATCCTATTGCTTGATTGGTTGTAAAATTTTTACTTACAATGCTTAGGCCTGGGAATAAAGAATATATTTTTTAAAATAACTAATATTCAATGATTTTTGCTAGTTATTCAATTATGTGGATAATTTCATATAATTAGAATAATTTGTCGTGCTTGGATTATTGGCTTACGAAATTGCATGGATTTTAACGAGCAAGCTATATGAAATATTTACTTGACTTAATATGCTTAAAACATTGTAGTAATTCTCTTTAATTTTATTAAATAAAATTATGATTTTATTAAATAAAATTATGTATTATTAAATTATTGTTGTTAATTTGAATATAAAAATTATACTTTTGGTCCTGTGAAATCCGGTGGTTTTTTACTGAAGCCGAAGGTTGGCTCAGTAGGATTGAACTAAAGTCACTCTTTTTTACACCATTCAATCATGTTAAAAATTTGTTTGCTCATGAAATAAACGGCCTAAATAGATCAAAATTGTTATTTGAACAACTATCTTCATTATATTCAATGAATATTTTACATTCTGCTGGTGCTCATAGAAATTATGGTTGCTGAAATCATACGTTGGCTTACTGCAGTGGCTTACTGGGTCTCATACAACAGTGTCATGGCGGTTTTCTTTACATATAATGCTTTAAATAAGTCAATATATTCATTTCACATTTATTTTTGTCAATATAAATAAAAAAATTGCTTTTGTCTGGTAAAATACAGTGGCCAAGTAAAGCCGTATGTTGGCTTAATCGGATTTTTTTTTCATATATAAAATACTATGAGATCAATCAATCAATCAACCAATCAATCAACCAACCAACCAACCATTCATTCAATCAACTAATCAACCAACCAATCAATGAACCATATTTAAAAAATATTTGCAAGGCTTGTTCAAACTCGAACAAACACTTAACTGTACAGATTTACAAACAATTTCGAGATTTTAGTAAAGAAAGAAAAACACAATAGTTGCTTTTATTAAATCAAGAAATGTCTAAAAATTATATAACCAAATTAAAAAAACTAGAAACCAGTCAACATTTAATAAATAATTAAATAAATTAGACATTATTAAAAAGATTGTTCAAAAAGGTAAAATTTAAGGCGACGACGACGACGAGAATAAAATGTAGTTTGTTTTGTTGGTGTGGGGCTGGGAAGCGAAAACAAACACATCACAAAAAACTAGTAAAAAGTCGCAAGAATAGTAGTCAGTCACCTACCTACAATTAAATCACTCTCAGGGCCCTAGCTTACTTTTAATCATTAACTCAACTCACCTACCTACAAATATGTTTTTCTACGTTTTTGGAATTTTACATGTTTTAGGTATTTTATTTTACATATTTCAGCGTTTTTATTTTACTTGAAACTTTAACTAATGTTAAGCCCTAGCCTACCTACGATTGTTCAACTCATCTCAATCCCTAACTTACCTACGAATTAAATTAAGTCAGGTAAAGAAAATAGAAAGTTGAAGAAAAACATAACAACAACGACACCGAATGAATGGATGTTGTGTATGTGTGTGTTTTATTGATGTGTGTGTGTAAATGTGCGGGCGTGTACTCTCCAAAAACTTCTTCACTCACTACGGACGAACCTCCATTGCACCGACCATCATCCGACGCGCATCGATGGAATGAATTTGACCGGATACTGAAAAACACTAAATTAAAAAAAAAATAATTCTTTAAAGTAAAAAACAAGCCATTGGAAAAAAAGGCAACTTATCTTATCTACCTACTTCTCTGACTACTTCTCCATCACTTGCGAAGTTCAGAGCGAATCTCAAGACCCATCTGTTTTCAAAATTCATTGAGGAGCGCTGTTGAACATCGCGGAAATAGCGCTTTATAAGCTAAATGATTGATTTATTGATTGATTGAGATGACAAATTCGAGTACTTTCAATGGTACGATGGGACAAGAACAAATTTCTTTTAATATTATCTTCAAATTGTCATCGGAACGATCATCATGAGACCACCATCTGAAACATGCTGACGCCCACCACAGCCCACCTCTCATCATTCTGTAAAAAGATATTTTTATTAGCTTAGTAGTAAATCAAGTAACAAAGGAACGAACGAATAAATGATGAATTGAATGATTTAACGAATGAATAGAATGAATCAATTAGTGGTGGAATAATTTGAAAGATAGTGATAAAATGAATGAGAAAAATTAAAATAAAACTAAGCCATACTTCAAAAATCGTCGTTGTTGTTTTCTTCAAATTGTCATCGGAACGATCATCATGAGACCATCATGTGAACCGTGCTGACGCCCACCACAGCCCACCTCTTATCATTCTGTAAAAAATTATTTTTATTAGTTTAGTAGTAAATCAAGGAACAAAGGAACGAACGAATAAATGATGAACTGAATGATTAAATAATTAGTTAAAAGAATGAATGAATGAATGAACGAATAGAACGAATTAACGTCAATTAATGGAAGAATAATTTGAAAGATTGAGGGGAAAAATGAATGAATGAGAAAAATAAAAAAAACGAAACTAAACCTTACTTCAAAAATCGTCGTTACTTCAATCCATTACACCGACCGCACCGACCACCACATTCAGATCGGCACACAAGATTTCATCCGAACTTCTGAGTGTCAGTCGAACAGCCAACGCGCTGATTCTTCCTACACCACATCATCATACGTAAATCATCATGAGACCACCATCTGAAACGTGCTGACTCCCACCACTGCCCACCTCTCATCATTCTGTAGACAATTTTTTTATTAGCGTAGTAGTAAATGAATGTTAGAATCTTAGAAGCAAAAAATTATAAAATGGAAATAATGGCAAATAAATAATAACTGAAAATAATAAAGAGATTAAAATGTAAAAAAAAACTTACCGTCGTCCACTCGACCAACATTTGAATGCTTACCGGTTCCTACGCTGTCCTCCAAAACTGGTGCCAGTCCTCCTCGAGATTGTTGCTGAAACACAGCTCGTGGAATGGAGAAAAAGAAAATTCTCATCAGAAAGCTTAGCGGTGCCTGCATCTCAAATTGCTTAATAAAAATAATCCTATCTACCTATTCAATTACCTTAACTAATCTATATTAAATTGTTAATGGTACGATAGTCGAAAGTCCCCCTTCATTCTCCCTCCTTTGCACAGATGTTCACCGACAGCCAGGGCACCGGATAGTAAACCATTGCCGTGCGGATAGTAGACTATTGCTGTGCGGATAGTAAACCATTTGCCGTCCGGAAGCCGTGCGGGTAGTAGACTATGGCCATGCCGCATAGTAAATCATTACCGTGCAGATAGTAAACCATTGCCGTCCGGATAATAAACCATTGCCGGTTCACCACTGGCCACCAAGGCTTACCTCTGACAACGGACTTTGAAATTCAGAGTCTATCGGCTATCGTACCCTCAACTTACCTATTCATTACAATTAAGCCCTAGCTTACCTAAAATTACAAAACTCAAGAGCCCAATTCATTGGCCTTTCGGCACCCACCCCACCACCTACGTAATGCCTTGGGCTCCAACTTAGTAATAACAATATAAAACTTAAACCCTAAATCTATTAATGAGTATGTGTTACAACGTAGCCTTAACTTACCTATTCATTACATTATGGCCTTAACTTACCTAAAATTACAAAACTCAAGAGCCCAATTCATTGGCCTTTCGGCACCCACCCCACCACCTACGTAATGCCTTGGGTTCCGACATAATAATAATAATATAAAACTTATAATTAACCTACCTATCGATACACATACAGCGTTTTAATTTACATTACAAGATTGTTCCTAGAATTACATTATTGCCCTTAACTACCTATGAAATTAAATTACTCTCAACCTTAGTAATAATAAATTAGAATGTGTATTGAAAATAAAATTACGCTCAAATACTAATATATGTGTTTATGTATGTGTTTGTGTGTGTGTGTGTGTGTGTGTGTAATACGCTAATGCGTGTAATGTAGATGCAAGAAAAAATAGAAGCGATAAACTTACGCGCCTACCTATTCAACTACATTAGTGTTGGATGCTTCCTATCCATCCTACCTACAATTAAAATTATGCCTATCTAACCTACCTATATAGCTACTTAATGTAATTGTGTGTGTGTGTGCGCGTGTAAGCATTCTTACTTATTTTTAAATTACAGAAAAAAGAATAAGCCAGGCGTGTATTCTTTGCCTCTGAATGAATGAACGTAGCCTGACATCTTCCATGATGAACTCATCTGGAAGCTTCAACCTGAGTGAAATGAATAAAATCTTATTTATTTAATTAATTTAAATGAAACGAGCCGCGGTGAAACCCGCCAGCCGAAAAAGCCAGCCAATTGGCAAAAAGAGAAACCGCAAAGAAACCGTAAAACGAACCCCAATCAGGCGTGCATTCTTTGACACTGAATGAACGAACGTAGCGTGACATCACAACCATTCTGATCTTCCACGATGAACTCCTCCGGAAGCTTCAACCTGAATGAATGAACCTGAAAGAACATAAATGAATGGACAAATCTTATTTATTTAATTAATTTAAATGAAAATAGAGAAACGCAAAGAAGCCGACCGGTCGGCAAAGAAAAGAACCTCTATATAACTCTATGTAACTCTATGTAACTCTATGTAACTCTATGTAACTCTATGTAACTCTATGTAACTCTATGTAACTCTATGTAACTCTATGTAACTCTATGTAACTCTATGTAACTCTATGTAACTCTATGTAACTCTATGTAACTCTATGTAACTCTATGTAACTCTATGTAACTCTATGTAACTCTATGTAACTCTATGTAACTCTATGTAACTCTATGTAACTCTATGTAACTCTATGTAACTCTATGTAACTCTATGTAACTCTATGTAACTCTATGTAACTCTATGTAACTCTATGTAACTCTATGTAACTCTATGTAACTCTATGTAACTCTATGTAACTCTATGTAACTCTATGTAACTCTATGTAACTCTATGTAACTCTATGTAACTCTATGTAACTCTATGTAACTCTATGTAACTCTATATAACCATACATTCCACCACATTCAATCAATAAAAATCCCACTAAAACCAGTAACCACCGCGTACCTGTTATATGTATGATGTGAAACAAATAAAAAAAAAACAAAGCAAAAAACACACCACCAAGTAGAGTAAAAGAATAGAAGTCCCTAACCTACCTATGTAACTAAATTACCTTATGCCCTAGCCTACCTATATAATAAATTAATTTTTACCTCACCTACCTATGTTTCATTAACTTAACTTAAGACTCATGAAGAAAGAGAAAAAGGAGTAAAACAGAACATAAAATACTACCACACAAACAAACATGATGTATGTATGTATGAGCAACCGCTAAAGAACCCACCTAAAATATAAAAAAATACAACATCCAATCACACAAACCACAGGCATGCAAACTATATATAATTCTATATAATAAAATAAATAAAAATAAAATAAATGAGATCAGGCAGACTGCTTCATGCGAGGCAGAATGCCTGATCTGATTTTCACGTTTTTTCAGCTCCTATTTATACTCGTTTCAACCATACACTTTCACCATTTCAATCATTCACATCAGTAAAAAACTTATTTAATGTATGTACTACAGTATTATACAGTCTTAACCACAATGCCAACAGTACTAAATTGACGTCATCGAACGAACGCCTTCGAAATTTTCTGGTTGGCTGGTTGAATCTGCTATATTGCTTTTTATATAAAACATATAACCTTATTAATTATTTGTATACATGGATTCTAGTTACTTTATATATATATATACACACACATATATATATATATATATATATATATATATATATATAAATTCATTATAATTGCAACAGTAATCAATGCTACATATGTACGCCGCAGTTCAAAATTTTCGGGGAGAATTCAAAATAGTTTGAGATCACACCTTGCTTAACATCCAATTCCAAGCGTAGCCGAGCTAAACTGAGCCATTATGCATAGATTTATAAGCGCTTTTATAATAAAATTATGCTCGCTTTATATATATAGTATATAAATTCCTTATAAACGCAACAGTCGTAATCAGTGCTACATATGTGCGCAAATTTTTCTGGGAGAATTCCAAATAGTTTAAGACCACACCTTGCTTAACATCCAATTCCAAGCCAAGTCGAGCTAAGCTGAGCCAATATGCATAGAGTTATAAGCGCTTTTATTTTAAAATTTTGCTCGCTTTATATAGACTATATAGTATATAAATTCATTATAAACGCAACAGTAATCAGTGCTACATATGTGCGCACGCAGTTCAAATTTTTCTGCAAGAATTCCAAATAATTTGAGACCACACCTTGCTTAACATCCAATTCCAAGCCAGCCGAGCCATGCTGAGCTAATATGCATAGATTTACAAGCGCTTTTATATTAAAATTTTGCTCGCTTTTTATATATATAGTATATAAATTCATTATAAACGCAACAGTAATCAGTGCTACATATGTGCGCACGCAGTTCAAATTTATAATTTATTATAAATTTTATTTGATGTTTTTTTAATTAGACAGGTCACAATCATCATCATCATCGATATCGCAATGAAATCAAATTGAGAATTTTTTATACTAAAAAAAGTATCTTTATTTATTTTATGATACTATTTTGTTCAATAAGATACTGTTTGATACGTATAACTAGAATAAATATAACGGCCTTCGCTCACTTTTAACGGTTGAACAAGGAGCTTGCTTCTGGAGGGGAGATGGAGGGTGAGGTTCGAGTCAAAAGTTACGATAGTATATTTACTAATTACGGAATATTGCTTTTATTTAAAATGTTCAAATTTTATTTTTTTAAATTGTTATTCAATTAACTACTTTTATTTGGTATAAATTTAAACAAATAAAATCGACATTACCGAAAATAATTAAAAGTTGCAAAAATTGAGATTCTTTGCATATCCCTGCTCCAACCCATAAGAAACTGTTGTTTAATGGTAAATAGGTCTCCCCTTGCAAAACACATAATTATGACTGTTTAAAGGTGAACCAATAAAAGATTCACAAAAAAATCATACAATGTATTTGTGGCTATTAGTCAGAACGTTGCATTTAATCATTTATTTGCGCAAACTACAGTTTTTTCGTTTTTGACCTGAAAAAAATTATTTTTTTCCTGATTTCGACAGTTAGGATTTATTGAAATTATTCAATTTTCATCGCAAAATTCAAAATGTCTAACGATGATAGTGAGTGTTGTTATTTAATTTTAAATTTTAATTTTTTAAAATATAAAATTTTTCAAAATTTAAATTTAATTTAATTTAATTAATTTACCTCTAAACTTAACTATTAATAAATTTTAATTTAAAATATTTACTGCCTAATGAAGCAGCTCAAAATGAAAAATTAGATTACTTAAAAATAGAAATAGAGAGTTTAGAATAATAAAATTAAAAATAAAGTATATAAACAAATATAAAATAAAATAAATATATAAAAACAGAGAAAGTTAGACTAGACCACTAAAGATTAGAAAAACTAATTAGCTAAATTACTGTTCCAGTGGTTTTGCATCTGGTATTCTCTATCTATTAGCATTAGTTAGTTAGACATTAGTAAATTAGTCTATTGTTTTATGTTTTATTTTACTGATTTTATTTACTTACATTTATTTACTTATATTTATTTTGTTTTATTTAATTAATTAATAATCTATCTAACTAAATTTTAATTATATTAAATTAATCAATTTTAAATCTGATCAGGTATTAGGGAGCATTACCTTAAAAAGTTCAAACTTTCAGTCGGTGTGGATACATCTAAAAGCCCCATACATCAAAATCTGAGAATGTAAAATTATTTCTTATCCTAATAATGTTGAAATCATTATATTTTTCAGTTTTTTATATTATGTTTTTTTTTGTAAAAATATTATGTTATCTATTTTTATTTGTCATTTTAAAAAAATACAAAATAATCTTGAGATACTTGTTCTTATTAAGCTAGTCATATGTGTAGCATTGAAAGTTACTAAACTAAAATGTCAGATTACAAATAATTGAATAAAATTGTATTTGCTTGTTTATTCTTTTAAATTCCATGAATATAAATAGATAGATAGATAGATAGATAAATAAATAAATAAATAAATGAAACAACGTTCTAAATGTTAATAACCTTTTTTCATTTGAAAAAATTAGCTCCCATTAAAAAATTAAATTTTATCTTCAAATCTTCAAAATTCCCAGTCACATTACAAACACACATTTCTACGTGGAGGCACTTACTCCTGACATAAAAGAGATCCTCATCATTGACAGAGTCACCAACGAATTGAAACTTTCCAGTTAGTGCTTTAGGACAAACACACACACGCACACAAACACACACACGCACGCGCGCGCACACATACATACAACACAGACACACATGTGTGTACATACTACATGCACACAAACACATATACAGACTTACTAATGCACTTATATACACACAGATACAAACACAGTCACACATAAATACATACATACATTAGCATACAAACAAATACACCTATACATCAGTTTTGTTTAAATATAATAATTTTTTTAATTTTAGAAAATCCAGATGACATTCCAAAGTTTCAAGTGCAATTGAAGAGTATATGTGGGATCTTTGGTATCATAAGACTTTTGGCAGGTCTGTTTGCATACGCCATCATCTTCATCATCACTCTCATTACAATCATCATCATCATCTTCACAGTCATCATACTTTCAACCAATCATCACCATTCTAATTCATCATTCATTTCCATGGTCATCTACTATGATTCATTTCATCATCATCGTCGTCGTCGTCATTATCATCCTATGATCCCATGGCCTTCATCATCGTCATCAGGACCCTACTTGATAGTGATAACGAGGAAGATTAAGGTCGGCGAGATAGATGGCAAGGCAATATGGAAAGTGGCAGCTACTGAACTGCTGCCCTATCAGAGGACCACACTGCATCTCAATGAACAACAGGTCCTTGACCGAACGAGCGAACAAATGAATGAATCAATGAATGATTGACTGATTGATTGGGTAGTTGGCGAACGAATGAATGAATCAATGAATGATTGACTGGCTGATTGATTGGGTAGTTGGCGAACGAATGAATAAATGAATGAATAAATAAATGATTGATTGACTGGCTGATTGAATGGGTAGTTGGCGAACGAATGAACGAATGAATGAATGATTGACTGGCTGATTGATTGATTGGGTAGTTGGCGATTGAACTGTGTGCTACTTGGTTGGTTAGTCATCAATTCAGTTTATTGATTAATTAATTATTTAGTTATATTTTTCGAATTTTTCAATTCCATATTCCAATTAATAATTTCTTCCCGCCAATTAATCAAGGTACAAGATAACGCGCGTTATTTATCTATGGTGGAGGCCGTTTTATCCATGGAGAATTTTTACTTTTCGACGTCGTACGATCTCACGCACACCTTCCAGAGGCTGTTCAACACGAGTCCCGACTTTAAGTCTATTGCTCTTCATGATAGGGTTGGTTGGTTGACTGGTTGATTGATTGGCTGGTTGGTAGTGTAATTTCTTGATTGGGTGGCTGTTTGAAAGACTTATTCATTATTATTATTGATTGAAATTATTGATTGAAAATATTGATAATGTTTTCGTCTAAAAATTAATATTAACTACGGTTTGTTTCAAATAGTAATAATAATATTAACTATTATTATTATTATACATGTAATAATTATAACTATATAAATTATAATATTAATAATAAAGTGTAATTATAACAGGCGGACCAGAGATTTCTTTGGAATGGTTTTGTACTTAAAGACTTATCCCAGCAGTTTGAATTGAGTTCATTCTGCCTACCAATCATGTTGGGATGTATCTTTTGTGCGTGCGCGCGTGTGTGTGTTTATGTGTGTATGTATACGTGTATGTATGCGTGTGTGTTTCCATTTGTAAGTGTACAAATTCAAATGTGTTGTACGTTTTTTCATTTTTCTTAGCGTGGCTCTGAACTAAAACTATGCTGACGATGGTGATGATGTTGACGGCGGCGACGACGACGATGATGATGTCGATGATGACGCTTTTGATGATGCGAATGTTGATGATAACGGTGACGTCATCGTCTGTGGTGATGATGACGATGACGACAAGCAGTCATATCAGTGAACACGTGCAGCCTGAGGGGGCACATATTAAAGTACATACTCATCTCCAGGAGATCATGCTTCAGGGCGGGAACCAGGTGATGCCGTGAAAGAATGAAGGAATGGATGAATGATTGAATGAATGAAGGAATGAATGATTGATTGAATGAATGAATAAATGAATGAATGAATAGTTAATGATAGGTTACATGAATAAAAGAGTAGAAGAATAACTAGTTGAATGAGCGAACCGATGAATAAATAAAATAACAAACAAACAAGCAAACAAGTATGAAGATATTAACAAACGAACCAAAGATACAACATACGAGGCATAGATGACGAAGGCAACGTGGCGAACTTTGTAGAAACTGAGCAGATCATTGAATTCAATAACATCCGATGCTCCTATGTACAGGTTAATACCGCTACCACTACTATTACTTCTCTTACTCTTGCTACTGCCGCACTAATACTACTGCAGCTGCAGCTTCTACCAGAGCTTCTACTACAAATTATACTAATACCGTTGGTACCCTAACTACTATTTCTATATTACTATTATTGCTACTGCTGCTGCTCCTAGGGCTTCTACTAACACTTCTGCTACTACTTCTACTACTACTACTACTACTAATAATAATAATAATAGCAATAATAATAATCTCCAGACAAGAGGCTCAGTACCACTGTACTGGTCACAGCTGCCAAATCTGAAGTACAAACCGCTCCCTGCCATCATTCCCGACGACCATGTTCGTAATCGTGGTTCACTTTTAGTTTATCATCATCATCATTATTATAACTATTTATTATTATTATTATTATTATAATTGCAGTTAAAAGCGTTCACCTTACATATGGAGGCCCAAATCTACAACTACGGCAAGCAAGTGCTCGTGAATCTGGTAGGGAATAATAGTAATAATAATATTATTATTATTATTAAATAATAATAATAATAATAAACAACAACAATAATAAAAATAGTTGATAATAGTAAATAATGATAAAACCTACGATAATGGTGCAAAACGATAATATCAATGTCAATTAATTAATTAGCTTGATCAGAAGCGTCCAGAAATTCAGCTTGTAGATGCCTACAGAGAACTCACCAATAGATTAAATAATCCACAAATAAGGTAGTAATAAATTATGCAAATGAGGTGCATTTATTGTAAATAATAAATTATGCAAATGAGATTTCAAGACAAACGACATTTAAAAAAGAAACAACAACATCAACAGCCACGTAGCTTTCGACTTTCACAAAGAGTGCAAGAACATGCAGTGGCATAAACTGCAATTGCTGCTGGACATACTCAATGAACACCACAACGAAATAAGGTTATCGTCATTGTTGTTTACTTATATTGTTATTATTAGCAACAACACAACAACAACACAGCAAACACATCGCAACAACAACAACTGTGTCACAATCAAAACACCAACAACAACTTCAGCACATCAACTACAACAATAACAACAACAACAACAGTTATTTTTTCATGCAAGACTCGATAGTTGAAAAAACTCAGAACGGAGTTTTTAGGACAAACTGCATTGACTGCCTCGATAGGACCAACGTCGTCCAGTCTATGATCGCTAAGAAGGTCCTTCTGGAACAGCTGAAGGTCGTTTTTGTTGTTGTTGCTGCTGTTGTTATTGCTGCTGCTGTTGTTGTTGATAGGATTATCACCATTATTTTGTCTCTGGTGACTTGTGATGACGAATGAACGATGATGATGATGATGGTATTAACGACGATGATGATGGCGTTAACGACGATGATGATGAATGTCGATGATGCCTGTTCATTTTTCCCCATGTGACAGAACTTACGAATTTTAATGTCCAACGATTCTATTGAGAATTTTGTTGAGTTTGAGACCATCTTTAGGAACGGTTAGTTGGCTGGTTGGTTGGCTAGTTGATTGGTTGATTAGTTAGTTGATTGTTTGCTTGTTCGTTTGTTAATATAACCTATCATTTATTCTAAATTTGTTATATTCATCATCGTCGCTTACCTCAGCATCATCATCTTCTTTTTCTTCATCACAATCATCACCTCATTCATCATAATCATCACCATCATCGTCGTCGTCGTCATTAGCGTGGGCAGACAACGCAGATGCATGCGCCAAGCAGTACGCTGGCACTGGTGCTCTTAAAACTGATTTCACCAGGTTCTCATTTTCGACTGACTGACTGAATGAATGGATGGATAAAATGAATGAATGAACGAATGAACTTACACACATACATAGACACACACAAATACAAACATACACACATACATACATACATACATACATACATACATACAAAAACATACAGAACAGGCAAACGAACGATACTAGGAGCATTGCAAGACGGCTGGAACTCAGCTAAAAGATATTTCATTAATAATTTTTATGATGGATTCGGGCAGGTACGTATCATTTTGTATCGTTTTGTTTTGTATCTTTCAAATTTTGTATGTTTTGTATTGTATATGTTACATTGTATTTGATACAGGTTTTTCTATAATATGTTTTGTATTTTTGTATGTTTTGGTTTGTATGTTATACCGTTGTATTGGATATAGATTTTGTATTATATGTTTTTTTGTATTTTTGTATGTTTTAGTTTGTATGCTATACAGTTGTAACAACAACGACAACGTCAAAATAACTAAAAATATAGGACTCCCAGGACCTGTTTTTAGGAAATTATGAGGTCGAACCGAACGAGGGAATAACCGTAATCTCACCTCTGAGGTCAGAGAAGGATTGGAAGTTCTACGCTGTTAGTGCCTCTTTTCTCATTGGCTGGCAGACCGTGACCTAGTTAATTATATTTATGAATTTTATAGCCCATACTGATTGGCCAGTTGTGACCTGGTTACATAATTCGTGATCTATTTTAATTTTATTATTCACATTTTCAGCTGCCTACAATCTTCATGGTTGCTTTCTCCATGTGCGTCGTCAGTGTTCTCATACCAGATGGTCAGCTCCTAATTTATTAATAAATTTAATTTATTCATATGATATATATATATAATTATATTATTTATATTGCAACTGTCTTGTCGTCCGTTTAATAAAAATAGCAATCAAATTATAATAATATTAACAACAATGAATAACGATCAAAAAATTATAAAAATTGAAAACACCCCCGAAACTCCAAAGAGCACATAAGCGAGCAGCTGATGTACGTGTTGTTCTGGGGAGGAGCCTCGGCCGTTACAGCGGCCACGATGCTGTACTACGGGAGGGAGTTCGTCGACAGGCCCAAACTCGTTCAGAGAAAGTTGAAGACCGAATGAATGATGGCTGGTGTTCAGTCGGTTTGAGTTGGCCGGTCGTTGCCCGGCTTGCTGGTTGATCTGTCAGTTGGCTAGTTGGTTGTTTTCTCTCTGAGATGGTAGATCCGGCTGATTGATTGATTGATTAATTGATTGATTAGTTGAACAGTTAGATGGATGGATTGATCTATCGGCTGATTGATTGAGCACCTAGATTGATTGCATGTATTATAATGATGTTACATAAGGTTATTATTTATAAACGATAGATGAACGAATGATAGTGAGTGATCAAAGAAATACTTATACGAAAAACGAACGAAAGAACGAATGAATGTACGAATGAAGGAATGAACAAAATATGTATAAATGAATGAACGCAACTATCTCGTGGATGTTATTGACGGATAAATTATTAATCTTGTTGTTACTAATGACACGTCATTTAAATCACTATTTAAAAAGTTAATTAATTAATTAATTAATAGGTTAATTAACCAATTAAGTTATTAATGATTAATTGTTTCGGTTAATTATATCATTTCTTTGTGATAACCAATCATTTCACGTACTTATTTATATACCTATTTATTTACTTAATGAACGAATTTGGTTTTAAATAACACACAAACTTTAAAACACACACACACGCCACACACATACACACATACACGTTCGTATATTTATTTATGTGTTTATTTCATCAATTACGCACTTCATAGCAACAAAATATGTCAAAAATTTCTACACGGTTCGGGTTTTTAGCGTTATATCTATCTATCTCACTTCACTTTCACACCCACATATATAATATATTATAATTAATATTATAGTTAATAATATAACTAATAATATCAAACACGTATGAACGTACATACATAAATATCGATCAGTTAATCACTTAATTTATGATTTTTTGTATTTTGCTTAAAAATCTAACAAAGGTAAACAAAAGATTATATAAATATATTTATATAAACATTTGAAGAACAATAATTTTTTTCATGTTTTATTTATAAACTCATTTAACGAAGGTTTCCCGCAAACACACACACACACACATACATACAAATACACACACATAGTACAAAAACACGTACACACGCAAAACGCAGGCATACACACACACACACACACACAAAAGCTCACAAAATATAGATTAAAAATTATATCATTTGTAAGTCAAACAAATGCGAATGCTCTCGACGAGATAATATGTTCATTCTCACTTTCTTTCTCTCCCTCTCTTTCCCTTTCTCTCTCTCTCTCTATATATATATATATGTATACATAAATACATATACATACTGATGCAATCACGTGCATAACCTACAATAAAATTTCGGGCACAAAATCACACACACAAATTAAAAAAAAACCTTAAACAATAAATTAATCGTTAATTAACCAAATTACTAAATTAATTATAAATTAATTAATTGATAAAATGAATAATATATATAAATGAAATTGTATAAAGTGACGAAATAGCATAAATAATGAATCATAAAATCATACATATTATGTATATGTATATATATATATATATATATATGTGTGTGTGTGTGTGTGTGTGTGTGTGTGTGTGTGTGTGTGCAAGAGTTGATAACTAATTATAGTGATGAGCTAGTAGGCATTTTATGCTATACAGATACAGAAAAGGTACATACAACACACACACATACACAGACACACACGCGCAGACAAACACGCCAACACATATATATACATATTTGTGTATCAGAGTTTTTAATATTTATCAATGAAAGGAAATATTAATTCATACAGTTACGAAGCAACTTTTAATTATGTCGTGTGCGTGTATATATGCATGTGTGTGTGTATGTATGCATGTGTGTGTGTGTGTGTGCGCGTATATCTAAGTGGTGTGTGTGTTTTAAGTTATTCGATGTTGATTGGTTAAGACACATTTATAAATTGGACGAGTTAAATAAAAACAACAACAATAATAATAATAACATAGCGACTTAAATTGTTATTATTTTTGCAATTAAACGATCGCCTATCAATCATAAAATAATCATTTAATAATAATTTAAATGTAATAAAGTTCTTAAAATACTCCAAACTAGAGTAAGTAAAGTCATACCTATACAATTGCTTATATATATATATATATAAATATAGGAAGGAGGCCAGATTTTATACAGTATTGTAAGAATTTTACCGAATTGTTGGCATTAATCAATTAATTATTAATGCCAATAATTCGGTAGAATTCATACAATACTGTATATATATATATATATATATATTATATATACATATCTTTGTGTGTGTGTGTGTGTGTGTTATATATTTTAATTGTTTTATAGGCTGGAAAATGATTATCCTATGTCAATCAATCAATCAATCAATCAACCAATCAATCAACCAATCAATCAACCAATCAATCAATCAATTAATTATACCGATCATTTAATTATATAAATCAGTTACATAACTAATTACATTTTAATTAATTTAAACAAGGAAGAAGATAAAATAATATCGATGTAGCTAAACGTGAAATACAAATTACAGATTGCAAGTATATATAATATACTAATATATATATAATCACTAAACCTTAACACAAAGCAACGTAGTTGTAATAATACTTTTTAAAGAATGTTCTTCTTAAAGCAATCACGCCATATATATTAATTATTATACATACAAACAAAGAAAAGACACAATTTAAAAAGAATATATATATATATATATATATATATATATATATATATATATATATATATAGCAGGCAGTGAATGCACGCACGCACGCACACAGACACGCACGCACACACAAAGTTATAAATGATTCAAAATATACTTTTATATTGTATGACAAAAAGAACAGACACTGTTGAGAAAATCCAGGCTAAAAATAAAAATAAGTGAAAAGATACTATATACATAACTCCGAAATATATATTTTATGTTGATTGATCAATCAATCAAACAGTCAATCAACTAATTAATCGTAATCAGTCAGTCGCCCAGTCAAACGACTTATCAGCTATAACCAATCAGTCAACGAATCATCTGATGAATCACCAATCAATAAATAAGTCAATCAATCAATCAATCAGTCAGAAACATAGTCTAGGCCAAAGATGAATAAATGAAATAACTGATTAGGGTGAATTTTTTTTCATAATATCTTTGTTCATTCTTTAGTATTTGTTTTGTACTTCGTTATTTGAAAAATAATTAATGTAGTCTAGACAGAATAATACACAATAATAATAATAATAATAATAATGATGATGTAAATAAAACAAAAATAGGAATAATAATAATAATAAATGAGCTTGTACTAATAAATATATCTCAAAATACAAATGAATAAATAAATAAAAGAACGAATGAATATATATATAATTAGCCAAAAAATTTAAAATTCAATACACGCGACAAAGTGTACATAAAGTTATATATAAACAATAGTCTTAACATGAAATTAAAGTAGAAGGAAATAAAAAGACAAATAGTTGGAAACAAATTTAAAAAAAATTATTTTTGTAAACTTTAATTTTTTTACGGTAATCTTATATTATATCTTTTCATTGGACGGGACCCAGGCAACGGACGACGCTGATTGGCTGGCGATGACCTCTTTGACCTTTGTAAATATCTCTTCAGGAGTGTCGCCTGTTATGATAGCTGTTAAGTGGTTGGTTCATGAGTTGTGATTATTTTTAGATGTGTTTGGTTTGAATGAGAAATTTCTGTAATGAATGAATGAATGAATGAATGAATGAATGAATGATGACCTATGATTGGTTGATGTCGTTTGAAATTTGGTAACATTATATGAATGAACTGACATGCATGTATGTTCGTTTGTATGTATGTATGTATGTATGTAATGTATGTATGTATGTATGTATGTATGTATGTATGTATGTATGTATGTATGTATGTATGTATGTATGTATGTATGTATGTAAGTATGTATGTATGTATGTATGTATGTATGAATGTTTCAAGTGTCAGTGCATAGAAAAGGAAACATACATTCTAATGACAATTATCAGGACATGATGACGACAACAATGCTGAAGATATAATAAAACATCTGCATAGACAAGAAAATTGAAGACTGATGGCATAAACATGAGAAGAATAATAATAAAATCATAAAAAATTACAAAAAAAACCATGAAAAAAATTCGCATTCGACCAGTTTAACCATCTGTCCCTTATCTAACTTAATAAAATATGCACTTTATTTAGTAATGCTAATACATTATTTGATAACGATACTTGTAACTGTATGTATGCGTGTGTATGTATGTATGTATGTATGCTTGCATTTGCGTATATATGTACGCATTTGTGTATGTATGTATGTGTGTACGCATTTGTGTATGTATATATATATGTATGTATGTATGTGAGTATGTGTGTATGTATGTATGTATGTATGCATGTATGTATGTAGATGTTTCTTTAGCAAGAATTTATCAACATGTGTTTTCATAACTTGCTTTTCAAGTAGGAACAGCGGTCGTATGTAAATAATAATAATAATAATAATAATAATAATAATAATAATAACGGAATCAACGAATAATTTAACAAAAAATTGAATGAGAGTTTGAGAGTAGAGGATTTTAAAATGAGAGTTTCTGGAGAAGTATGCAAATTGATTTTGGCTATTTTCAAAACTTATTGACATCATCATCATCATTATCATCATCCAGTGAACGATTGAGTGAACCAATGAATGAATGAATAAATGATTAAACAAATGAAAGAGTGAATGAATAAATAAATTATTGATTAAGCATGATTGTGTGAATGAAAAAATGATGGAATCGATGAATTAGAAGAAAAGATAGCGATCAGATAAATTAATAACTAATTATAAATGAATGAATAACTGAAGGACAAATGAATGAATGAATAACTGAATGAATAAAATGAATGAATGAATGAATAAATGACTGACCGGTAAAAAGCTGGTAAAATTCATGTTCTTGTCTGACGGCTCGGTCGAATGCGTTCCTTGCTTGTTCAGGTGTTATCTTTTTATTCCACTCACTATGTTATGTCGTTCAATTAATCAATCATCTTATCAACCAATCATCTAATCATCTTATCAATCAATCAATCATCTTATCAATCAATCATCTAATCAACGAGCCAACCATTCAATCAATCAAACCAACTAAACAAACACACAGTAACTAACAATATCAAATCAATGGTTCTAGGCTTGATGAATATAGAAATTGGGTGTAAATTAGCTTGTTGCAGGCGTTTTATGGCGTTACCACTGACGTCCAGAAGGCAGTGTTTATTCTGAGAGAAAGAGAGAGAGAGAGAGAGAGAGAGAGAGAGAGAGAGAGAGAGAGAGAGAGAGAGAGAAATAAATGAATGAAAAAACGAATGAATGAGTGAGTGAGTGATAAAATAAGGTAATGAATGATAAATTAAAACGAAAATGAAAAAAATGAAAAAGCAACGGTACAATAAAAATAAGGTTAAACTGTGTGACCCAGCAAATGATTGACCATCTCAACTATGATTGGTCATCTGTGAAAAGGTCACTGAATCGTATGTAATGCAAACAACATACAAACCTACATACATACAAATATACAAATATATGTATTTATGTTTATAAACATACATACATACATGTGTTTATGTATGTAAGTTTGTATGTATGAAGGTGTGTATTCATTGCATCAGATACGACGTGTATGTTATATGATGATCTAAAATCAACTCATCAACATCTTGTAATGGTTGAGGAAACATCATCAATTACTTTGTATAGCTTGCATTATTACATTATAACATTATTATAATATTAATTATAGTTATAATATATTATTAGTGTTAATATATCATTAAAAATAATATACAGTAAAATTTATTTCTCAGCTTATATTTGGTACAGTCCTAACAAAACAATAAACTCCTTACTTAAAATATTACCCAATCAAAAAAAAACTAAACAAAAAGTAAAATGAAAAAACTAAAGAACGCACTCTCATAGCGACTTCCTTGACAGCCTGAACACTCGTGCCGTAAAGATTTCCATTGTATTCCCCGGCCTCGACGAACATCATGGAGGTGTTGATGTCTCGTTGCATCTGCTCTCGACTCTTCACAAAGTGATAGTCTCGGCCGTCTACTTCGCCATCTTTGCGGGGACGCGTCGTATCTGAAGTTTTTTGGGTTTTGGTTCTTTTTTTTCTCAATACAACACACCATACAACAACACACCACGCAGCTGCCTACAATTCAACACAACAACAGGACTCTAACGTGGCACGCATGTCTCGAAAATGTCCGAATGTTCGGCGATGAGGTCATCACATATTCGATCCTTCAACGGACCCAGGATTATCACTGGACGTGTGTACTTTACTATGACGTCATGATGATGATGTTGATGATGGAGAAGATTATAATTAAGGTAACCAACTTTGTCCAGAACTATTATCAACATCAACTTATCAGCATCAACATTACCATTTTTAACATCATTGCAACCACCATCATTATGTCCGTCCATAGAATACATCTTCGCCATCATCATCATTACAAAGAAACCATCTTCATCATCACCATTACCTGAAATACCATTACCATTGCCATCAACATTAGCAAAAACATCATCATCATCGAAATCATCATCATGAAACCAACGTTCTTGTTTGAAGACTGGCTCGTATGAAATAATATTGACCTCTTCCGGAGCTGGAGGTGGAGCTGAAATAATAATAATAATAACAATAATAATAATAACAACAACAATAATAATTCCATAGTAATGACACCATTGCAATAAAAAAACTAAAATTTTTTGAGGCACCTTTAGGTTCTGCTAGAGTGTTTTCACTTTTACTTCGTTCTTTGCTTTTTGGAAAATTCAACTTTCTTGAAAAGAAATTCTTTTTTTTCTTTTCTTTAGTCAGTATCTGGAACAGGAAAGGAGAGAAGAAGAAGATGGATTAAATTTTAGGAGTAATAATATCTAAAATAAGAATAAATATTACTAGAATCATTGATGTGCAAATGAAATAAAATAATTTTGTGGATTTTAATTACAGCTTGGTAGAAAATTTTCTTGAATGAATGAATAAGTGAATGAAAGAATGAATGAATGAGTAAAATGAATGACTGAATGGAATAAAATGTAAACTGACAGCAGCACTCTCTGTATAGTTGCCTTGAAACTTCACAGTCCTCATTCTTGCTCTCTCTTTCCTTTCAATTCTGTTTCAGTAATAATTATTGTCATAATTTTCAGAATAATAAAACTATAATATGATAAAACTATATTAATTTTTAGAAAATCAATTCAACATTTTTGCATTCTTGAAAGTTTAAAAATTTAAAATAAATTTTCAAACGAATTTCATCACAGAAACATTTACAAAAATAATACATTAACAAGAAGGATATGACAGAACAGGCCTATAAAATTGAACATTAGTGTATCTATAAAACTATACAAGTAAAAAAAGGATGGAGCTTAGATGAGGACTGTTTAAAAATACCTTATCATCCCTGTTTTTAAAACCATGTATCAAAACAAATTATGTTCGAAAATAGCAACCTTCGTTTGCTAGGTATAATCCCGATGCCCTGATCGACTGTGTCGCCTTTCAGCTTTCTAGCCTGCCACCATTCATCATCACTTGCATTGGTGACATGTAGGATATCACCAAACTTGAAGGCCAGTCCCCGGCCTGGAATTCCACTGTCTTTAGATGGGTCATACTCAAAAAGAGCCCTGTATAATTCATAATAAAATAAAATTCATTAGAAATTTAATTCCCTGAAAAACTATTTTACTCAATTAAAGTTTTAACAGGATATTTTTGTTGAATTTTATTCAAGAATGATAGAAACTTAATGAAACTTTTAATGTAATGGTATACTAAGGAATATATTTCAAGAGAAAAATTAGGAACCTGACCTGACGAAACATGACTTCTTCTGGGTGGTTTGAAGGTTTCCTACATTGCTGCCATTGTAATTATTCATCGTTCTAATTACGTTCTCCACCAAGTAATTTAATATATAATCAATTAGTATTTTTTAGAGTTGGATTATGATGATGGATCTCTAACTTTTACAGTCTTACTAACTAAGTCTAGTTAGTGAATGTTTTCTTACAAATTATAACTGTTGAACAAACTCCAGCCAGCATTAATCAATCAACTTTTCAAATATACAAAACGAAGATTACAAATTTACAACAGACGTAATGTAAGTTGTTAAAACTGCGAACATCCCAACACTGATCACAGGACTGATGGAATTTCTTAGGAAATTATAAACGTGATTTACCACGGAAATATTTGGCGAAAAAGTTTACGCTAAAAACAACACAAAAAATATATTTTATAATATTGAACTTTATAAATATTGTAAAATTAATCAAATTTAAAAAATATTAACGGACGCCATTTAACAATTGCAAACGATTTAACTCGAATTTACCTGTAAAATAAATAAAAATAAAATGTACGCACAAGAAAACTTGTTGACATTACATTCTGTAGCGCCTAATAAACGTTAACAAATACAACATATATTTTATACTGTAACTAATTTAATTTAAATTTTAAAAATTTTTATTAAATTTAACAATTTATTTATAAAAGTTAAATAAATAATTTACAAACTGTTATATTTAAAAACTTGAATTTCAATGGTTCTGTTTCGTAATATCGCTCGCGTGCACCTTCTTGTTAGACCGACAATGGCGACCCAAATTTTGACCTGTGGTTTAAAAAGTTTATTTTTACAAAATATCAAATCTAGGACAATTCCGATCGTTTCATCTTTTAAATCAAGTTAGTGTTGAAGTATTTATTTTTCTGTACAGGGTTTTTTTTTCTTTCCGCTCTTTTTTTAAATTTTTAATTAAAGATTTGTTCATTTTGTTGAGTTTGGCATTTAAATTTAATTTAATTTAATAAAAATAAAATTATTTAAATTAATCTCTTCACTTCTTTGATTTTGTTTTGTCAGTCTAATTAAATTAATTTCATTTTGCTTTTTTCCAGATCTCAAATACTCCAGTTAGAATTTAGATTGATCAACTTTTTCTTTTCATTTGCATTTTCATTTTATTTATTCCATTTAATTAAATTAAATGATTAAATAAATAAATAAACAAGTAAATTTTTAAACAAATGAATGATTAATTTTTTTCTCTTTCATTCATTCATTGGTAGCAGCAGCAGCTGTGCCAGGCACAAGTCATCTGAGTTACTATGTCAAAGATGGCGTTGGTGTCATTGTGTATGACTCTCCAGGCAGGGTAGATCATAAAAATAAAATTAGTTAAATTATTAAATTAAATTATTACTTACACATATACCACATAGTTACAAACATCACCACATAGTCACATATTAATTATTACTCTCCTATGTTAAATCAAATTATCTAATTTTTACGAAAAAATTTAAAATAATTAATTTTTTTGAATCTTACATTTTAGGCTAATGTCCTTAATGAAAATTCAATGACTGACTTAAAAGCTGCCTTGGAGGCTCTCTTGAAAGACAGCCAGGTCAGTTCGATCGTCCTTAGATCTGCCAAAAAAGACTGCTTCATTGCTGGGGCTGATATTAGGTGGCCATTTTCATTTTTTAAATATATTGTTTTATTTTTAAATTATGTTTTTTATGTCTGGAACATTTTCAAAGTATGTTTTATGACCATCATCTGTCTTTTTCATTTACTAAGTTATTGAATTTGTTTATTATTATAATTATTTATTCAATTCAATCATTTTATTAATTATTTATTTACCAAAAGTATGTTGAAAGCATGTGGAACCAAAGAAAAAACAGAACAATTATCCAAGGGTGGCCAACAGACTCTGAAATTAGTTAGATGTTCCATGTTTTTTGATTTCCAACATTTTTATATCTATTTCATTATTAATAATAATAATGATATTATTATTATTATTATTGGACAGTAGTAGTAGTAGTAGTAGTAGCGGTAGTAGTAGTAATAGTAGCAGTAGTAGCAATAGTAGTAATCATCGTAACAGTAGTAGTAATGTTTCTTTTTAGATCAATAACACTTAAAAACTTAATTATTCATAATAATTTTTAATTTGTTTTTAAAAGTATATTAAATTGTTTTTTAAAAGTATATTAAATTTAATCTTCTCTTATTTATAATCTACAAATGGTTAGCTGGAGAACAGTAACAAACCTGTTGTATCGGCCATCATGGGGTCGTGTCTCGGTGGAGGTCTCGAGGTTCAGTATTTTTTTATCTTCTATCTGTTTATCTTATTTAAAGCAATAATTTACAATGATAATATTTACGTTTTTTTGTGATTAGTTGAGAAATTTTTGTGAAATTTGAAAAATTGAGAAATGTTTTGAAATCATCAATTTACAAAGAATATTATATACATGGTACATAATCACACACACAGACTATCACACACACACACACACACACACACACACACACACACACACATACATATATACATATACTGTCACACACACGCCGTGCACACATAGATTATATACACATGCACACCTCACACATACACACACGCTGTCATACATGCTGTCACACACCACACACACATCACATAATTTTCAGACTGCCCTGGCCACACATTACAGGATAGCAGTGATGAACAAATCAACGCAGCTGGGAGTTCCTGAAGTAAAATTAGGACTCTTGCCTGGAGCCGGGGGCACCCAAAGACTCCTTAAAACAGTAAACAAAGAAAAAAATTTCTCCCCGTTTTATTCTCTAAATTTGAGTAACATTTATTTAGCAATACACATTTTTAATTTGTATTGTTACACTGTGGTCTGACATTATAACATGACAATCTTTCAAACTGTAAATCGATACTGCTTTGATGTTAAAAGTTTCAATTAATAAAACCATAATATAATTAATTATTATTGTTATTCGTTGCCAAAAGATTTCAATAGACCAGGCCTTAGACTTAATGCTGACGGGGAAATCATTGAATGCTGAAAAAGCTAAAAGAATTGGATTGGTTGATCATGTCGTCCAATCACTAGGCTCGTTTATTTATTATGTTAATGAGAAAGAATTTGCATTTTGAATATGTTAATTAATTAAGTGTAATTAATATTAATATCTAATTGGTTGATTGATTTAAATTACTCTATTGTGTAATAAAATTCAATTGGTTGATTGGCCAAAGACAATGAGCTAATGAATATTAATTAATTAACTAATGAATATTAATTAATTGACTAATTAGTATTAATTAATTGGCTGATTAATATTAATTAGGGCCAGGATTGCATGCCCCAGACGATGGCACCTTATTATACTTAGAAGAAGTAGCAATCCAATGTGCTAAGTATGTAAAACTGAAGATTATTTTTCATGCAAATATTATAAAAAGTAGTAATTAAGTAGGCTACAGTTTATGATAATATTTTTTTTGCAGTAGTTTGTATAAATTGTTGAAATTATTCTTTCATCTAATATCCAATCAGAGATCTGGCTTCAGGTAAACTGAAGAAGACCCCCAGAAAGATTGCACTGCAAGAAAGTAGTTCATTTTCTCTGCTTTTTTTCGTTTTTCTTTTAATTTTTTTTTGAAAAAAATGATTAAAAATAATTCTTCTGCTTTATAGTACGATTTTTTCTCGGATTAAATTTGATTTGAAGTTTATTCATTCTTTATTTTCTTTAAGATGTATACATATTATTTCTTATTTGTTTTTGTCGTTTATGATTATTATTATTATTTATTGTTATTATTGTGATTTTTTGTTATTTCCTAATTGCCTAATTAGAGTTGATATCGGCCATGTTGAAATTCGAGTTTGGGCGAAATTTTTTCTTCGACAAAGTGAAGCAGAAGGTCCTAAAATCCACTAAGGGCCTCTACCCCGCCCCACTCAAAATTATCGAGGTCACTCCATGATGGTGATGGTGATGATGATGAGGAAGATGGTTGTGATAGTAATAATGGTTACAATGATAATGGTGGTATTGATGATGACAATTATATAATATTGTTAGTAATGATTACATCAAATTCAGGTTGTCAAAAAGTCAGTAGAGAAGGGTGAAGAAGTTGGCTATGAGCTTGAGGCTAAGGTAGGGATTGAAATATTCAATGATAATTCGTTCTAATCTTTGCTAATTTATGCTAATTTATTCAAATTTGTGTATAGATTGCTAATATGTGCCAATATTACTAACAAATCAAAACAAATTTTGATTTAGAGAAGCTTGAAGCTGTATAGCTTTTTGCTGGTGTATTCTAAACGATGCCAGTGTAACAGTTCATACATCAAATTTATGTTTATATATGTTAATTTATGCAGGCCTTTGGCGAACTCGGCGTCAGTATGGAAAGCAAGGGCCTGATTGGTCTGTTTGATGGGATGACGGCTTGCAAGAAAAATAGATTTGGCAAACCACAAAGGCCTGTTAAGTTAGTTTTTTTGATCTCTTTGATTGGTTGGTTAATTAGGTGATTGATTGGCTTATTAATTGATTAATCGACTGATTTATTAATTTTGAAACTAACCAATCACCAGGCACTTGGCAGTTTTGGGGGCGGGTCTTATGGGCGCGGGAATCGCCCAGGTGACGATCGATAAAAACATTGACGTCATCATGAAAGACGTTTCTATAAATAGCCTCTCCAAAGGTCAACAGCAGATTGAAAAAGGTTTGAAGGATGCTGTGAAGAAACGGAAAATTACTCAGTTGGTAGAAAAATCAAAAACAACAACACACACATACAACAATACACACAAATATACAAACAAACAACAACAAAACACAATTGAAACGTCAAAAACAACAGCACACGCATACTACAACACACACAAGCAAACTACGACAAAACAAAACACACAACTGAAACATCACAAACAACAACACAAACGAACACTCAACCCAACACGACACAAACTAGATTCGAGAGTGACAAAATTTATTCCCGCCTAAATTCAACTCTGACGTACGACGACTTCAAGAATTCTGACATGGTTATAGAGGCTGTCTTCGAAGACATCGGCGTCAAACATAAAGTCATCAGAGAAATTGAACAGGTGCTTGCTGACGTTGGTGGTGATAATGATAGGGTGGTTGATGATGATGATGATGTTGGTGATGATGATGATAACGATGATGATGATAACGATGGTGGCGTTGTAGCTGTTTATTTATTTGTTGTAACTTTTTGTTTTTGATGAGGATGGTAATTTGAAGCACAAACATTTGCACAAACACACATACAACCATGCATAAACAAAAATACATACAAACAAACATACATACATACAAAAATATCATACATACTTACATACAAACGAACAGCATGTACCAGATTATTGCATAGTAGCCACAAACACATCTGCCTTATCCATTGCCAAAATTGCTGAAGCAAGCAAGAGACCCGAAAAAGTAATTTATTATTGTTATTATTATTATTGTTATTATTATTGTTATTATTATTATTGTCGTTGTTAATTTATCACTTATAAATTAAGTTAAGCGTTATAAAAATAAAAAAACGCTCGCTGCCAGTAAGTACATGTAGTTGGTTACTAATTTGAAGTAATAATCACGCACTAAGTTATCATCATTATTATCGTCGTCATCTTCATCTTCTCCATCATCATCTTCATCTTTTCCTTCTCCATCATCATCATCATCCTTATCTTCTTCTTCTTCATCATCATCATCATCCTTATCTTCTTCTTCTTCATCATCATCATCATCCTTATCTTCTTCTTCTTCATCCTCATCTTCTTCTTCTTCATCTTCTCCGTCATCATCATCTTCATCATCGTCTTCTCCATCATCATCTTTTCCATCGTCATCGTTATTATCATCGTCATCATCATCCTCATCTTTTTCTTCTTCATCATCGTCATCATCATCATCCTCATCTTCTTCATCATCATCTTCATCATCGTCATCATCAGATTATAGGCATGCATTACTTTTCTCCGGTCGACAAGATGATGTTACTGGAGTTAGTTACCTATGACAAAACCTCAAATGATACCATCGGTTTGTATCTCATAATAATAGTAATAATGATAATAATAATGTCATTTTCATTTGCATTCAAACTCGGACATTGCATCAACAGTGCCAGGCACATTAACCATTACACCAGCGGGCCGCCCACTAATCACGTATATAATATTTTTTCTTTACAGCCTCAGCAGTGGACGTTGGTTTGAAGCAGGGCAAGATAGTGATAACTGTTAAGGATTCACCTGGCTTCTACACTACTAGATGTCTTATGGCTCTTGGCTCTGAGGCCTTTGAAATACTCCTCGTATGTTTGCGTTTTGGTTCATCTTATCACACACACACACACACACATCATACCACACACACGCACACACTGAAAACAACAACGGATCACTCAAATAACACTCAGCACTGCGCCACAGACCCACCACTACACAATCTCTTATCCAGGAGGGAATGAACCCACGCGAGTTGGATCAGGCGACGGTAAAAATGGGATTTCCCGTTGGATCCGTGACGTTGATGGATGAGGTGGGCATCGATGTGGCGGCCCACATATCCGCCTATCTGGCCGATGCACTCGGAGACAGATTGGGACTCAATAAGCAGGACGCAATCCTGTTCAATGAGATGGTTAATAAGGGGTTTTTAGGTTAGTTAGTTTGGTTGTGTGTGTGTGTGTGCGTGTGCGTGTACCTGTTCGTGCGTATGTGTGTTTGTTTTTTTGTTGTATGTGTGTAATACTATATTTCTCGTTTTTTCAATTCTTCTTATTCCATTTCTCCATCGCGTCCGCTGTTGTTTGTCTGGCAAGGTAGGTCAAAGGTTTACAAGTATAAAACTGTCCATGTAATTTTTTTTTCATTAACCAACCTGCCAATGCTCAAACTCTTAAGCCAATATACGCTATCAATGGAAATATATCCAGTATATTTCAATCAAATATCCGGTATATCCCAATCAAATATCCAGTATATCCCAATCAAATATCCGGTATATCCCAATCTAATATTCAATATATCCCAATCAAATATCCAGTATATCCCAATCAAATATCCAGGGAGGAAGTCGAAGAGAGGTGTGTACGTGTACGAAGATGGCAGCAAAAACAGGGAAGTTAATGAAGGTTTCCTGAAATTAGTGAAAAAGTTCAGCAAACCTGCAAAAATTCCGTTAGTGTATTTACTCAGTTTGGTTGCTGTACTTGTCGTTTTACTGAACTTGTATGCCTGTGTCTGTGATGTATATGTTTGTATGTGTAATGTATGTGTTTTTATGTATATTATGTATATGTTTGTATGTGCAATGTATATGTTTGTATGTATAATGTATGTGTTTGTGTGTGCAATGTATATGTTTGTACGTTTAATGTATATGTTTGCATGTATAATGTACATATGTATGTATGTGTAATAAATTAATTAATTAATTGAGTTTAATTGAAATAAATTTCGGTAAACTTTTATAAATGTTTGAAGATTGACTCCAGAAGATATCAGACTTAGAACGTTAGGTAGATTCGCAAATCAGTGTATACTTTGTTTGCAGGAAGGAATTCTCGCTAATCCGGTGCGTTCATTCATTCTCTGTATCTTCGTTCATTCAGTCAATCTTTTCTTTATTCTTTCAGTTATTTCTTCATTCATTCGTTCATCAATTCATTTGTTCATTCATTCATTTGTTCATCCATTCGTTAGTTTGCTCATACACTACTAGTGCTTCCATTCGTTCGTTCATCTATTCATTCATTTATTTGATGTTTCTTTCTTTCATTCATTCATTTAATTGATAGTTGGAGGGTGACATGGGAGCAGTATTTGGACTTGGTTTTCCGCCATTTCTTGGGGGTTTGTTAAAAAAATTTGTCATTCATTCGTTCATTTGTTAAATCATTCATTCATTCACTGATACGTTCCTTTATTCATTCATTCATCATTTTGCTATTTATTTGTTACATTTTAATAACACACCTATGCTGTCATATTTAAAATCTTAGAAACGGAAAACTTGAAAAAAAAACCTAAAAACCCACAGGTCCATTTAGATTCGCTGATGTGTATGGAGCCGACAAATTGGTGAGCGGCCTACAAAGACTGGCGGACATACACGGAGAAAGATTGAGACCATGCCAGCTGCTGTTAGACTACGCCAAAGAACCATCTAAAAAATTCCACGCCAGCTAGAATAAAACAACAAAAATTATTAATATAATATAATATAGAAATAATTGTTACAGTTACTTGTTATTATTTTCTAATGCTCACGATCGATCAATCAGTCTGTATTTATTATTTAAAGGTTATATATTGGACTATCAAGTTGACAATAATCTTATGATTATTATTGATCCACTATAATTAAGTTACGCAGCGACATAATTATTAATACAGATGAAATTATTTAACCATTTGTTAAATAATTTCAGATTTGTAATTTGACTGTTAACGTGTGAACACTATTAATTTTAATCTGTTTGACGTCTAGGTTAAAAACCTCTATTATTATTATTTCATTATTTAATCTTTTTAATACAATCTTTTTAATCTTTTTTACTACAGGGGTAGGCAAACTTCAACCAGCGCTATTTCATGCGGCCCTCGAGGCCTTATTCGTCAAAAAAAGAGCCACAAATCTTAAAAAAATTCTCCCCCGGGTCGAAAAATTTGCTATTTAAGTACATATGCGGCCCTTCAAAGGTAAAATAGTCCTCAATGCGGCCCTCACAGCAAAGTTTGCCCACCCCTGAATTACCAAATTGATGAACTCGAATTTTAAAAAGAATTACATAATTCGCGTTTTCTTTACACATTACATAACGTACATACAATCATGTTTCGTTATCTATCTACTATATTTATAATGCTAATATATATTTCTGTTTCTTATCATTTTGTTTTGGTTAACGTTTAAATGTTTATCTCTCTCTCTCTCTCTCACACACATATATATATTTATCTATATATTAAGATTTATTTTATTAAATTTATTTATACATACGTGCCTCTCTCTATATATATATATATATATATATATATATATATATATATATATATATATATATATATATATATATATATATATATATAATCTAAATTTGAAAGTAATATATTTTTTTGTAGAGCTGTATTTTGAAGAATGTACTACTACTAAGTTGTCAAAATCAAATTTTCGATTTTATAACAAAAAAATTTTAAATTTACGCTAAAAAATGATATAATATCCACGAATATATCAAACAATACAAAATAATTAATAAACAATCAATAAGTAATAAATTTAAATAAGAATAATTTAAATGAACAGCAAATAAAATGATGGATCATAAATTTTATCTGGATTATTTCGAGGTTGAGTCTTCAGAATTTTTTTCAGATGGAGTTTTTTTCAGGTTTAAAATTTAAAGAGACGCTATTGATGCAGAATCTCTCTCCAGTTGGCTTGGGTCCATCGTCGAACACGTGACCAAGATGGGCGTTACACTAATTTTAGGGCGTTAAAAAACAAATTAATAAAGACATTTTCAATAGATAAAAATTTAGTTAACTAAACTAGGATATTAACATCACGAATTGAACAGCATAGCTAGACTGGCTCAGTATATCAAAAATCAAAATTATATTATATCAACGTTAATGATATTATATCAAAACGGTATCCTATCAATAAATTAATATTATTATAATTAGTAAAAATATTATAGTTAGTATTATTATTAAAATTACAAAAACCAAAATTACACCATAAAAGACTGAAATATCCTATCTCTAACCTTGCTACAAACCACCTCAGTCCTAACTAGCTGATAGGTAGTGTCCACTTTTCTAGTTATCCGATCTTCCACGATGGGGGCGTAGAAGGACGGCCAGCCACAGTGGGTCTTGTATTTTGTCTTGCTCCTGCCAACATCATAATTTTTATTCAGTTAAAATTTATTTATAATTTTAGAAAAACTCCAGTGAAAGTTTAGTACTACTTTGATCTATGTATAAATAGGTTGCTTCAATACTATTTCATTTTAATATATCAATATATCAGTATTTTCAATTTTGCATGGTACAATTATCACTTGTACTAAGACCATTATTAAAATTTCTCGTAACACTAAAGAGTTTCATTTGAAATTCAATGCTACTTATGTGCATTTGTTAATTTAATACAGAGCCATCTTTATAAACTAAACACTTTGCAATATACCATTTTAATGTAATAGGCATAATAATGGAAAAAAAACAACAAAATTAAATGAAAAATTTATTAAATTAATAAAAATAATAAACAGATAGGCCAATTAAACATTTAATATTTAATTAATTATCAATTAAATTATAAAATAAAATTAACAGATTATTATTACTCAAAAAGTTCAGTTCCACAGCAAAGACAAGTGTAGATACCTGGTTCAAAATGATTCTCATACAGACCGCTAAATGGCTGATGATAAAAATACATTATAACAAAAGTTGTAAATTATATTAGATAAAATACAATATAATAAATTTATATTATAAATTATACCATACAAAATACATTAATATAATAAATTATATTACAGAAAACATAGATAAAAATAAATTACATGTTAAAAAATGAACCATATTCTTGTACTGCACTACTGAACATGATTAGTAAACAGTAATTATTATTTACATTCTTCTAATAGTTTTATCCAAAAAGTTACAGGCATGTGGGGTAGAAGGAAATCTGCTACAATGGATAAAAAATTGGCTGAAAGATAGGAGACAACAGGTGCAGATAAAAGGAATAAACTCGAGATGGATAGACGTAACAGGGATCGGTATTGAAACCGCTATTATTTGTGATATACATTAACGACGAAGGAATAGTCTCCAAGATTTCAAAGTTTGCAGATGATACCAAATTATGTGGGAAAGTCAACAACGATGAAGATGTAGAAATATGCAAAAAGACCTAGCAAGACG